TGGTGCTAAGAGATGTTCTGGTAACACTTTCTTCAAGGGATATGACTGTCCTTGGTTAATTGGGCGCCATTAATGAGCTATGGTAAGCTTCCCAAATATTATTTTGCATAATTCCTTGTGTTTAAAGGTAAAACAAATTAAACCAGTAAGAAAAGTAGTAAAGTCGGTCGGGGCCGACTATATGATACCCTTCACCACTATGGGTATATTAAACAGATGCATCCTAACAGAACTTAATCTAAATGTGAACCAATTTAGATCAATTCATAAAGATGCCTTCGTTTGTTACAAAGGGACAACATTAAAATTATGAAAATCGATTTAAAGAAAATATCAATCGGGCACCCGTTGAATATTTGTAGCCCAAGTAACACGAACTCGTTCGGAAATATATATGGGCTATGTCTGAACTTCTACAAACGCAATTACGTCATTCTATGATAAATGTTATGCATTGTTCAAAATTTCATGTCAAAAATATATATGGGAGCCATATCTAAATCTGAACCGATTTTCAAGAAATTTTACACATATCATTCTAGACCCAATTTAGTGCACTGTACCAAATTTCATCCAAATCGAAAGATATATAGGGACTTTGGTATACCATTTACATTAAATCGGGCGAACATATATATGGGAGCTATATCTAAATCTGCACCGATTTGCAGGAAACTTAACACACATCGTTCTAGGGTTTATTCAGTACGCTATGCCAAATTTCGTGCAAATCGAAAGATATATAGGGACTTGGGTACACCCTATATCTTAAATCGGTCGAAAATATATATGGGAGCTATATCTAAATCTGAACCGCTTTTCAAGACATTTTACACACATCATTCTAGACTCAATTCAGTGCGCTATGCCAAATTCCGTGCAAATCAAAAAATATATAGGGACTTTGGTGAACCATTTACATTAAATCGGTCGAAAATATATATGCGAGCTATATCTTAATCTGAACCGATTTTCAAGAAATTTTACACTCATCATTTTAGACCCAGTTTAATATGCTGTATCAAATTTCGTACAAATCGAAAGAAGTATAGGGATTTGGTGCACTATCTACATTAAATCGGACGAAACTATATGGGAGCTATATAAATCTGGAACGATTTTCACGAAGACGCCACTCTAGGATCAATTCAGTACGCTATGCCAAGGTTAGGTTAGGGATGTGCGGTTGTTGTAACAACCGTCCACTCGGAAACTGTGTCCTTCGTCATTCTAGGCTCAATTTATTACGCTATGCCAAATTTCATGCAAATCGGAAGATATAAAGGGACTTTGGTACACCATTTACCTAAAATCGGACGAAACTATATATGGGAGCTATATCTAAATCTGAACCGATGTTTCCCAATTTCAATAGGTTTCGTTCTTGGGCCAACCAAGTGACTTGTGCCAAATTTCATCCAAATCGGATCATAAATGCGACCTGTACTTTGTTTACAATTTAACACCAACAGACGGACATGCATAAATCGACTCAGAAAGTGATTCTATGCATATTCTGAAAAGGAACTATGGGTCTATCACGTTTCCTTTTGCCTGTTACAAACATATGCACAAAGACATAATACCCTGTACCACAGTGTGGTAAAGGGTATAAAAATGTTGCTATTTGAAGTGATTGTGTCCATATTGAATTCGGCGATAGGTGAGACGGCTTAGCTGGACAGTTGAAGATAGTTTCTTGATCTAGTGGTTCACGTTTATATCTTTGGACCTCTCTCTCTCTCTAGATCATGAATTTCTCTTCTGACGTGCCTGGATAGGGGGAGTTCTGTTCATAAAAACACCCACGCAAGTACTACATCGACAACATATAATTGTGTCCGGTCAATGGCTTTATAAGAGGTCAACAAGGTTTATTTGTCAGCACCCCAACTGACACGTCCGACCTTGAAAAGGGTTACTTCCAGTATCTTAGGGTAGTTAGTGGTCGGAATCAGTTCTCCATCGACCACTGTTTTCAGTGGGAGCTTCATTTTAGCCTTCCATATGATGAACAATTTGGCCGTTGCTGTTGTGGAGGATATTTTCATATATCTGCAGAATATGAAGTATCCTCCACTAAGCCAGAAGTTTACGAGACTCTCACATATGTCATCAATAATGGGACCCGACGCCATGATAGTACAATCATCAGCAAACATTACGATCTCTATGCCGTCCGTTGGTTGTGGAATACTACAAAGGTAGAAGTCAAACAGTTCCGGAGATGTGACCCCTCCTTAAGGAACTCCCTGCTTCACTCTACGGGGTTTAGACTTTCTGTTTCTGATTTACACATATGACTGGCGCCCACACATGTAGTTGACTATCCAATGTTTCAAAAACGGCCGGAGATATGTCTTGCCAGGCTTCATTAGCGGTACCAACCAGCCCATTTTTCAGGCTTAAGGAACTATGTGGTTTGGTTTTGATTTTGTAAATGTTGTTGTTACCTTCACGACTCGGAGTGCCCTTATACAACGTAGTACACTCCTTTCGGACTTGTCACTCTTGGGCTGCTAAATAATCAGCCGGGTAAAACAGCACGAGCACACGGTTAGACAACCGTCCTAACATCTTTTTTTCTAGGATTCGAGAGTGACTTAACCGTTGCCCAAAATTTACTTGTTCCGATGACAATGTTACATAGTTTTAGGTGGTCTAGCCACTTTTCCCTTTTGTGTTCGTATACTAGCCAGTTGATATCAAGGGTATGTTCCTTGTTCATCGGTCTGAGCTAATCACGCCCATTTGACAATACCGTGGAATTTACTGGGAAAATTGGTCTTACTTCGGTATTAGGCAAGCAGGTATGAAGCGAGTGGCAGCTGTAGGAATGATTATACGGAAATTTCTCTCAGCTACCCGATGATCTACGGTAATTGGCAGCTCTCTGAAGCAGTAATTGGTAAGCTCAGGTCAATCATTTTTCCCATGATTCAGAGAAGTACGGCGTTCAGAGGTAATAAAGCAGGGTGGTCTGTTGTCGGAGACGATGATAGAGAGGTGGTCTAAGCCGAATGGAATGACGAGTTGTCAGGTTTCGTCATTTATCACACCCATAGTGGCACCTATGGTGAAATCTGACGACCTGTGGCAATCCTCCTATCCCCACTGACCATGCAAAATGTTGTGCTATCAATTTGTTCACCCTGCGTTATTACCCTCTTGTCATTACATAGGACACGGAACGTCACGAACCAGTAAGGTTCGGAGCAGGCAGTCCGGGCAATATTACTTTCGCGCTCTCTTTGGACAACTGGCGACATAGAGATCATATAAACAACTGTTCTATTTCATATTTTCAAAATATATTCTAATTTAATTCAGAGATCGAACTGAATCGTTTAACTGTTAACTCGTTATGTTTCTTACGAAACACATTTAAGTGATCTGCATGGAGGCAGTAATGGCTCAAGAATGTTCGCTACTGGCGACAAAAGTAAAAGGAGACTATATGATTAACCTTTGCCCATATTCTAGGCTTTGGAAATGTAGTGTTTAGCAGTTGATAAATTAAAAGGTTCAGTCAGGTACAATAAAGATTCCGTTCGGAACCAACGACACTTCGCTTGACACTTGCAAATTCACCCTTGTATACAGGTGGGAAATAATCCACGCTTCACCCTACCACTTTCGGAATGTTCATCAAACTATCTGCCGGGTCAGTCCGATTCCGGTTGGACCCAACACTTCGGAGGACACTTGCAAATTCACTAATTGTAAGCCTTGTCAAACTATTCCGGATAGGCCCAAACACACTTCGGATGACACTTGCAAATTCACTTATTGTAAGCCGTGATTCACCATCCTCGTTTCACCCTACCAGTTTAGGAATGCTCGTCAAACTATCGGTTAAAATAACTTTCATCCGGATCACTCACTGTTTCGTAGTTAAAAGTGGCTGATTCTTCTTTCGAAGGTTCGAGAGCCCTTAGAAATTACTAATACAGGTTTCAACGTTACATCACATCTGATGCTTTAACCATTTATTAGGCTCCCAGAATAATCTGCTGATGATATCCAGTTTTATTTCCTCTACTCTGATATCCCTGGGGAACTACTCTGAACGACGGAACTCATGAAGAGATTACGCCTCATTTATGGTATTTGATCAGCAGGTGTGGGTATAACGGCGGTAGCTGTAACGATGTCTCAGAATTTATTATCAATCACCTGAACTTTGGACGAGATAGAGGTTCTTTGAAGCAACAGTTGAACCTTCTGTATTCTTGTCACCTGACATTTCTATTCTATAAAAATTCAGAGGTAATAAAATTAGGCGGTTTGTTAATTGAATCGCAGTTTGATCCGGACTGCCAGTAAAGGTCATATACAAAACCTGAAGGCCCGATGGACATATGTGACGATATGGGTTTCTTTACCTTAGTTGTGGTCGACATATCGATCCTCTGTCTGTTAACTAGGTCAGAATACCATAATTCATGCTTGTTTTTTAGTTGTGTATTCATCGCAACATCTTAGGGAATCGGTCATTTGTTGTTGTAGATTTCGTTGAGTGCCTTTCCGACATATACTAAGCCTTGGTGAGTGTATAATATTTACGCTGAATACAATTAGAAACATTTATAAAACTTTTATCGTGGGCATTCCACTCCACCTCTCATAAGCTTTGCAAAAGTTTTTACGGAGTATTTGTGTTCGAAGATTTTTATTGAGTTCAAAAATTGATTTTTTTTAAACCAAAATAGAGTTAACGAAATAAAATTTCTATGAAAAATTATTTTTTTATATTAAGAACAAAAAAATATTATTACAATATTTATATGTATATAAATCAATATATACAATAAATTAAATACAGTCTTTTTTGCGGCAAATCGTTCGACAAAAAACAAAAATACTTGTTACAAAATATGTCTTTTTCATTTATAAGGATTTTTTGCAAAATCTTTTAACAAAAGGGAATTTTTTTATTCACTACATGCTACTCTATGAAGTAAACCACAATAATAATATTTTTGCTTTGTGTGTATGTGTTAATTTAGATATTTGGTATTTAAAATTTTAAAATAACGTAAAATATATTCACCCAAATGTTCGCTTATATAAAATGTCCAATCCAAGGTTTGTGTTCGTTTATAGTTAGATGTACTATTCATGATGATATCGTTCGGTTCATGCGTTGCATTATGTTGTAATAAATCGGAAAATAGAGAATCGGATGTTATCTTTATCGATGAGGTGTGAAGGAAATTCATAATACGTTCATTGGTAAAATCGGCATCCTGGTGAAAAAATAAAAATTTAATGAACGATAAGGAACTAATTTGGTATGTAGGAAAATCTTACCTCTTCAATATCTTCCCTTTCTCGTGTTAGGCGCACATAATATTTGGTTTTATCATTGGCATCTGCAGTAACCTGCACCTTGTCCAAAGGTAAAGCAAATAATAATCTACTTGTCTCCGCCTCAATAATGGCAAAAATCCTTGATGTTAGAAAAACATAACCCCTTTTCATATGCTCCTCCACGGCCAGTGTCACCTCATGATAGAATAAAATCTGATCACAAGACATTTCAATGGGTAGAATTTTCCATGTACGATAACCGGATGGTTCCAATGACAAATTCCGTGAAGTGGAGGGTGATCTCTGCTTGGGCATTGCATTAAAGCCCACAGTTTGCAGCATACCTTGACCAGCCAAGGCAAGAAGTTCTGCAGCACCACTAATGGGTTTTGTAAAAGCACCCACCAAACCTTTACTTAGGCCAGTAAATACTTCCACAGTTGAACGAGCCTCCAAGGTGTGATGTGCCAAACCTCCAACAGCTCCCAGCATGCTTATACCCAATCCGGTCATGCCCTGTGATAGACCTTCAGTAAAACCTTGAGGTCGAGAACGTCGCAAAGCCTCAGTGCGTTCTATGTGCTCCTCATCCAATGTCAAACGATCCAAATTACGTGCCACCGAGGCCGCCAATTTTGTAACAGAGTTAACGGTACCAGCCGTAACATTTCTCAGCAACGATGCCGAGCCCTGGGTTATACCTACAATAAAACCCCAAGGACCACGGAAGAGACCTCTTACCGGTAAGGACACAAAATCTTTTAATCCTGTGGTAACAGATCTTGCCAAGCCACTAGGACTGCCTAGAATTTCCAAAGAACCCACAACCCAGCCAGCACCAAAAATAGCACCCGACAAATAATGCATACCCAGAGATTGTCCAAATTTCATGGGCATTGTCAACAAATGGCTGCGTTCATATAATGAAAATGATAGGGGTGAGTGATCCAGCGCGATATACAAACGTACCGAGGTATGAACGGACAATAAAACACTCATAGGTTCAATACAGAATTGACGCAACTGCAGGGGCTCTGCGGTATATAATGCCGCCGATGCCACATCATTTGGTACACACATTTGATTTCCCACCAATTCAATACGTTCAATTTTCGGCTTGGGACGATAGGCACAATTCGAGGGCTCACATTCCACCAGGGCATCCAAGAAATCTGTAATATATGCATCCTCTATATAGGCTCGTATCGGATTGAAATGACACTTCAGCGAACATATTTTAAATTCATCTTCATAGAGTTTTAATTTCAATTTTATCATTGGAGATTTTTCCAGCAAATATTTATAATAACTTCCAAGATAATAGGGTTCGGGTAACATATCATTACGTTGATACAAATCTTGGGCACATAGAATAACCGGGAAATCATATTTACCCGTTGAAAATAATTGATTATCAATTTGCAGATTTGGTATGGCCATACTCAATAGACGTTCATCTTCGGAATCGTCATAGGCCATAACAAAATCATCTGCATATAGACTAACAACCTCTTGTTTCATATATTGACGTTGTGGACTATCGGTGTGTAGGCTGAGGACGATCTCCTTAATGAATAGTCGAACTTTGGTATTGGGACGTGATTCACATTCGTTGCGGAAATGATGACATACATCGGGTTTGGAAAATTGTGGTGTTTCTGTATAGAGTTTGGTTATCGTTGAGTCGCTTGGAGGTTTGGGGTCTAGATTTCCCTGTTCATCTGTTGTTTTAGGTTCTGTCGTTGAGAGTCTCAACCTTAAATCTTTCACGGAAAATTCCATTTGCTGAAAAAATAAAGGGCGGCTCTCGGAGATGGAGTTTTTTGATGAAGTTTTAACGTCCATTTAACTATCCAAACATATGAGATCCTAGTCTCCTGCCCTAAAGGATGACTACCTAAAGCGGAAGTGTAATTCGAGCTAAGCTTCATCAATACTTGGACGCCACGATAAGTATTTGATTTATTTATCAAGTTCTTGTCGTGGTTAGGAGGCTAGGCTAAGGCCAACCTCAATGCCTGCTTTGGCATCCTCAGTCTCTATTTCAGTGCTAGGTAGAACTCAAAATATGGACTCGGACTCTTCTTTAAAAATCTAAAAGCCTATGTTCAGGCATGTCGCAATGGGCGCCAAGTGCAGATGGGGATGACTTTGCGTCGGTCTTGGACGAAATACATGACAATTTGAACCGACAAAATGAATCCCACCTTTTTGGCTCATCGAGATATACGACAGCTTACGTCTGCGCCAGGAGAGCATACCAGCCTACACATCGGATAACAGCCCAATGACAGACGAAAAGGAGGATGCTGATGTTACCGTCATCCGTACTGTACCTTCTAGTCGGCAAAGGACGTCAAATATGTCCGTTGTTGATGTAGGTTCCTCCAAAACCGAAACTCTTGGAAATTCGTCGGCTTCAGTTGACAAGCCATTATTTTTGAGGTATACGGCCACAGAGGGGAATGAAGTCATAAGTGTGTATTCAAAAGTCATGTTGGAACTCTCGCTGTCGGTTCCAGCACCCAATAGCGTCAAAACCAAGAAACTAATGGATAAGAAGGAGTATCGGAGAGCAATTTACCACTGCCAACGATACGTAGATAAGGGCACCAACATGGTCAGCGAAATAGAATTCACCTGGATCAATAAGCAACTAAAGATCGTTAAGAAGTACGAAAGGGACTATGCCTGCAAGGCCTCTAGAAAATTCCGATCGACTGAATTTATATATCAAATACAGTGGCTACCTCATTTTCTCCAAATCAGCAACAGTCGGAAATACGTCAACAAGCTTAGACTTCTGAGACGGTCGTCAATAAAGACTCCCTTCAGCTCGTCTAGAAAGACTCCCTTCAGCTCGTCTAGAAAGACTCCCTTCAGCTCGTCTAGAAAGACTCCCTTCAGCTCGTATAGAAAGACTCCCTTCAGCTCGTCTTGAAAGACTCCCTTCAGCTCATCTATTGAGATTTCTTCTGCTCTTTTATAGACTTTGTCTTCAGCATTTCTATAGACTTCCTCTTCAGCTCGACTTCAAATGGTCGTCAATAAAGACTCCCTTCAGCTCGTCTATAAAGACCCCATTCAGCTCGTCTATAAAGACTCCATTCAGCTCGTCTATAAAGACTCCATTCAGCTCGTCTATAAAGACACCCTTCAGCTCGTCCATTATAAAAACTCCCTTCAGCTCGTCTATAAAGACTCCCTTCAACTCGTCTATAAAGACTCCCTTCAGCTCGTCTATAAAGACTCCCTTCAGGTCGTCTATTGAGACTGCTTCAGCTCTTTTATAGACTTTGTCTTCAGCATTTCTATAGACTTCCTCTTCAGCTGGACTTTTAATATTCCCTTCAGTTCTTTTATAAAGACCTCTCATCAGCTCGTCTATAAAGAAAATCTTCAGCTCATCCATAAAGACTACCTTCAGTTCGTCTGCCTTTAAATAGTCTATATAGATTCTTTTTAGTTCGCCTATAAAGACCCATATCAACACGTCAATAAAGACCACATTCGACTCTCCTGTAAAGTTTTCCATTATCTCGTCTATAAAGACTGCCTTCATAGCGGAACTCTCTATTTTCCTTTTGGCCATCCAGAAGCAATTTTCCCTAAATTTTATATTCTTTCATGTTGCAGTTTTCCTCACCTGGGATATGTAGTAGATATTTAATCGTATAACACGATGTTTATCACAGATTATAACTTTAACATCACCATGGCCGGGGATGTGTAGGAATTTTTTCCATGTCTTATCCAAACGTATGGGCTTGGACCATTTAATGGTCTTTTTGGTAGAGGTATCTGCAAAGAAAAGAAAATGATTAAAACTCATAATTCACCACACAACAAATGCTTAAAACTCACCATCATACAAAGCCAATGTGATATTGCACAATGTTGAATCGACTTCGGGGAATCGAGTATACCATTCGGGAGGGGTATAATAACATTTACTTTGTTTGGGTATCATATGATACCATTCCAAATGTTTGCCATCATATTCTGGGGTGGTTGAAGAAACTTTACTATTTTCCGAGGCATTAGTTTGGGCCACAATAAATGCACAATCCGTCTGATTGTTAACCAAAACGGCAGGTGAAAGATCTTCGGTGATGCATAAATAATATAGACCATCATGTTCTATTAACGATACCACCAAGGCGTAGGATTCATTTCCACGTTGTACACTAATGCATTTACGATTGAATGGTAAGGCGAGGGGTATTGGTATTGATACCTCCGAATCTTCCAGCATTTTAATTATTACAAAATATACGAAGGCGGTATCCACCGATCGTTGTGCACTCTCATAGTTAATGTCATAAAATGTGGTCAATGATAAGCCAATACTGCTGTTCCATTTCGAAGTGGAATTGATTTCTGTATTTGGTGTCTTTTCATTTAATCTTTGAATGTTGGATCGCGTGACATTTTCCTTATGATCCATGGCAAATGGTAATAGATAAAGTGGTAGTTTGGTATAATTTACAATACCAAATTTCGAAGTTAATTTTAAAATTCTGCAATTTTTTTCAGTGAGTAATTTTACGGCAAATTTAAACACTTCCTTGCCTCGTAGGATAACAATATCGGTAATATCTCCTTCGGTTAGAACATAATATCGTTTACATTGATTCGACAAGGCATTTTCGAAAAATATTGGCAATGAGTAATTCCAATTATCAACACTATTTTGTATGCCAATAACAAAACCTTGTGAAATATTAAATAACATTTCCAAGTTATTGGCGGCAATTGAAATGTGTTTTCCATCCCCATGTTGTTGCAGGTGTTGTTGAGGCGTTGCCGGTGGGGCAAATGCCTTCAGTTGTATATTCACACCCGTACCATTAATAAACATTCCCCATGGTGCAATTTCCAAATTTAAAGTACACGAAAATTCCCGGCTAACTTGAGTATTGTAAATGACATCACTTTCTCCATTGCCTAGGGAGTTACGTTTAACCTTTAACTCTTCTTCATCGGCTGCCAGAGGCCAATTCTTTGTGGCTGGTTTAGCCAAAACATTCAAGGCATTCTCTATGGTCCATTTTTGTTCATCATACCAAAAGAATTTTTGCCAATCTAATGATCTTAAACGCAAAGTGTAATTGTCCTGCGAGGATGTTGCCAATGGAAAATCATATTTGAAATTCAAAGGATGTTCTGTTAGGTGCGTGGCTGATGCATCCAATATATATTGCCCTCCCTGACCCATCACGCTAAATTCTTGTTCAGTATTTTGTTCTTTTGCCTGTATGGCACAATTTAGCCGCGATGTTATTTCAAATATTGGCCATATGGTAATGAGAATTTTTTGTGGTTGCATTGAATCGTTATTTGCTGTGGTTGTAGTTATATCTTCGCGCAGTATCCGAACCCAAAAGCTAATGAATTCATTGTTGTTGACAGGAACTGGAAAGGAAGAAATAGATTAATCAACATGTCGATCATGAAAATAATTCAAATAAAGTTATAATATGTGATATTGAAAAAGATAATATTAAAAATTATGAAATTATTTTCTCTAAGGACTCCATGCAGATCGTCTATAAAGACTCCCTGCAGATCGTCTATAAAGACTCCCTGCAGATCGTCTGTAAATACTCCCTGCAGATCGTCTATAAAGACTCCCTGCAGATCGTCTATAAAGACTCCCTGCAGATCGTCTATAAAGATTCCCTTCAGCTCGTCTATAAAGACTCCCTTCAGCTCGTCTATAAAGACTCCCTTCAACTCTTCTATAAAGACTCCCTTCATCGCGTCTATAAAGACTCCCTTCATCGCGTCTATAAAGACTCCCTTCATCGCGTCTATAAAGACCCCCTTCAGCTCGTCCTCAATTTAAATATGTAAATTGATTCTTGTTGTGTCTATCACGGCAAAAGACCATTGCGGTGAATGTTGGTACCGATTGAAGCAATGGATGATTCATCAGTGAAATGACCCACCAAATGTCTAAATGCCAAAGAATTATCAATCATAATTTTTTCTATATTTAAAAAATAATTCTCTATCTGTACCTCAATTCAACAGTTCTGGGAGAATGTGAAATAATGTTCTCCAAAATTGCCTACAGTTACTCACCTTTAACCAGCCATGGTAGTTTTTTGTTCATTTTCAAGGGTATATCACCCGTGCGAGCTCGTACTTTATTATCTGCCAATCTCAGCCTGTAATTAAAAAAAATATTTGTAAATTAATTTTTAAAATAACAAAAATAAATACAAATGCACACCAACTTACCTCATCGATATATTCGAATTGCGATTGACATTATAATAAAACGAATTACGACCATTTCGTTCAATAAAATATTCCAATGGTTTATTCGCCTCATCATACAATTTTCCCTCTTGGCGAAATTCTAAACGTAAATTATGTTCAACCATTGATATCAGCTCAATTTGCCCTTGTATTAAAACACATATTTGGGAACCAGATAACTTTTTCGATTTCACAATAATACATTTGCTGCCAATGCAAAATGTTTGTGACATTGTTTCGCTCTCAAATTTAAATGGAATATGTATCGATTCGGATGTATCCACTGTGTTCGTTTCTTCATCAGATATATAAAGAGTCAAATCTTGACTATTACAATCACTACGAAATGAATACATGCAGCATTCTTTGGGACTTAGCGGGATGCGTTCATGTGTACCCGATTGGCCAAAAGCCATGGCCGTCATGGTACGGTTTACCACAATACATTTTGGTATCAACACATGACGTATGCGTCTTTCATTCGCATCTAAACACTCTTCCCAATGCAATTTCGATGAGAGTAGGGTGTGCAGTACCGAGGGTCCCAAATTAAAACGCAAACGATCAAACACAAAATTGGCATTCACCACATTTTTCTTTTGATCCATTTCCAAATAGGTTTGCACTGTTGTCTCCTCCAACAGGGGTAACATATTCAGAAATCCATAATCCAAATATTTTATATGGGCTGTCAACATCAAATTGGCATTATATTTCATACGACTATAGACGACACCATGCATTTTAATATTTTGTAAAGTGAATATTAAAAATGCCTGTGGTATTTTGACATTATTCGCCAAATGATAATTCCTTAACATTGGCGGCAGCTCATCGTTATCGTTGGGTTTATTCAACAAATTCACACACACCGTATTGAAACTAAGCAGGGTTTGTATTTTTGGCACCGATTTCGATTGGAATGTTGTATCGACACGCATACAGGCAACTAATACTTTTGGATGTAACATAAAATCGGAATCCTTACGACCTTTACCCAGCACTTCTTCAATATTCATATGTGATATTGATTGTAGTTCTTCATCTTCTTCGCTTGTATCGAAACATTCCCCATCTACAGAGACGAGAGATTGTAAAATAACAACACGCCAAATGGTAGCACAAATTTCACGTTCTGGTAATTTAATATCTTTGGAGTTGGTTTCCGACAGCCAAAAATCACAAAAATGTAAAAATTGTTCATGCACCTCACTGAAGTATTCCATGCGACAGCGTATGTGTATGGGATTGGAAACCTGTAGAAAATAGAAAAGATAAGAAGTACAGTAGAGTGGAGCATATGATTATTTTTAAATGGGAAATATTAATTATACGCTCTCAAGCACTCTTGGTACATTGGGCGAAGTGTGTACTTTTTAAAGAAAGACGTCGTTTATAAACCCCAACTTTAGCTCGTTTATAAAGACTGCCTTTAGCTCTCCTATAAATACCGATTCCATCGTCTTTAAAGTGTGGTTTCAGCTCGTATATAAGGACAGACTTCACCTCGTTTATAAAGAATGGCCTCAGCTCGTTTATAAAGACCGATTTCATCGCCTATAAAGACTGGATTCAGCTCATCGCCTATAATTTTTTTCACAGTAAATTTATGTTTGCAATGGATTTTTTCTGTGTACGTTGCTGTCAGCTTGTGTATAAAGATTGGCTTCAACACGTCTATAAAGCCAAGGTTCATCTCTCTTATAAAGACAGGTTTCAGCTCCCCTATAAAAACTGACTTCAGCTAGTCTATAAAGACCGGCTTCAGCTCGTCTATCAAGACTGACTTCAGCTCCCCTATAAAAACTGACTTCAGCTTGTCTATAAAGACCGGCTTCAGCTGGCCTATAAAGACTGTTACAACTCGTTTATAAAGACAGGTTTCAGCAGGTCTAAAGATGTTCTAAAAAGACTGACTTCAGCTCGTCTGTAAATACTGGCTCCAGCGCGTTATACAGACTGGCTTCAGCAGGCCTATAAAGGCGGGATTCATATCGTCTATAATAACTGTCTTTAGCTCGTCTATAAAGACTGGCTTCAGCTCTCCTATAAAGACTGCCTTCAGCTCGTTTCTAAAGTCTGGTTTCAGCTCGTCTATAAAAACTGACTTCAGCTCTCCTATAAAGACTTCCTCAACAAGTTTTTTCAGATTTTGTTGTCAGGATAAAGTGGCCTATATACTCATTTCTTTGATAATGTTATGATTATCTATAACTTACCGCCATTGGCACCGGATATATGTGTATTTTACACATTTTTCTGGGCTGGGGATAACGCCAACAAATAATACCATAATCCTTTTTGATAATTTGCACCTGATATGGCAATGGCAAAACCGCATCAGACATCAGTTCCACAAATTGAAAAGCTCCAGCTCTGCAACAAAAAAATCCAAAATATTATTTTCAAAAGCAACAAAAATAAATAAAAATGTTTTACAAACCTCAAATCATCTTGATAGAACTCCTCACGTTTCAAACTCTTATTACTCTTCACAAATGAATTTACTTTGGGATATTTCAGTTGACGTAATATTTGACGATTTACATGATAACCAAAATCATCATGTAAATTCAAAGCTTGAAATTGTTGTAATTGTTTTTGAGCATACCCAGCAATAGATGATAAATCATTTAAGGCTTGTTGCATTTGTTGCAATATTGAAACACCCAACTCGATTTGTATAACATTAAATTTACAGATGACATTAACGAGTGGCAAACGATTCCAGGGTTCACTAACAAAATCAATGGAACCCTTTAGCGACATGGGGTGAAGAAATATTTTACGATTTGTGCGTAAATATACAGCGGCCAATGAATATTTTATTGAACACTTTTCGGGACGCGTTAAATATTTTAGATTTATTTTCAGCTCATTGAGATTTAAATTGGTTTCATAGTCAAGGTGATTGGTTAGCTTCAGGGCAATGTTGTTGCATTTTATATTTAAACGATCGGCATTTAAGGTATTGGCTTTCATGAGCATAATTTTCGATAGACGATGTATGGGTTGTTGCTGGCAAGTGGTTGTCTGTGGCGTTTGTTGTGAATGTATGCTGTTATAGATTATCATAAGATTTTTACACATTTCCTCTATATACGATTGGCTTAGGGTGAGAACCAATGGTTTCGATAAATCAATATCGATTTCAAGCATTTTTAATTTTGTCTGACTTGCTTTGTAGGTCAGCAATGCCGGTGGTATACCCGTTGAACTTAATTCTCCTGGTTTGGTGTCAATGATGGCTTCACAAAATTGTTCCACTGGTGATGTGGGACTCGTAAAACTTGTTTGTGGCCGCCAATTGCAATTTTGAATTTGTGGTAAAAATAATTTTACATTGAAAACTGAAAAATTCACCACCGAATCGTAAATATTTTGCGTAATCATAAAACTGGGTTGCGATATAGTCATAGACATAAGGGGTTTGCCTATACCCTCATTATTTTCCACTGCCAAATTATCTTCGTGGGAGGATGTAGTCGAATCATAGATTTTAAATGTAAACACCCCAGCCAATAATGATATCGATTTGGGTAGATTTCTTTTGTTGCTAATTATTGAATGTGATGCTATTATGTTTGGATAGATTTGTGAAAATTTATCCAATGGAATGTTGGTTGCTACTGAAGGTTTGGAAGTAATGGATTGTACACCCGAATCGGTTTTCAGTTGAGGCTCACCATCTTCATCAATCGATTCAAATTGTGATGCCGAACCCAAACGGGTAAAACGACGAATTTCTGCTGTATTGGTTGAATTTTTTTGTTTCTCCGTTTTCATGTGGCGTAGATTTGTTTGGAAAGGTCCAACGTGATCCAGGTTTTGCATTGTTTCCAATTGATATTTACTATACGGTGATAATCGTTTGCTGGTGGAATTCAATTTTCGTTTAGTCATATTGTTTATTGTGCTAGAAAAGAAAAAATATTATTTAATAAATCCACGCCCAAAGCTCTTCAAAGCCATGAGAAAATATTCTTTATAAAATGCAGGCATAAAGCTCTTCAAAGCCCTCAGAAAATATTCTTTATAAAACGCAGGCATAAAGCTCTTCAAAGCCCTCAGAAAATATTCTTTATAAAACGCAGGAAAAATTACAGATTTTTATTTGCATTCTTAGATACGATCAATGATTTTTTTGAATAATGCCTTGTTATTTCGATTTATCCATATGTTTTACTAATTGGGCGGTTGTTTTTTTTTAATTATATATATGGGCAATATTGCCAATTTTTTAACATAGCTGAAGCGGAGGTTCACCCCTTTATAACGTGGGAACTAATTAAGTATATGAAAAAAGTGAACAGTTTTGGGTTAATTGATCTGTCGTTGCAAACTGTTCATGATATTGACCTCCAAACTTTATTTTGGTGGAAGCTGTGTCTACTTTAATGTAAAAAAATGTGTAAAAACAGATTGAGGCGAACCAATTTTTTTATGTTCTCTATCGATTTGTGACTAAGCCACTCATTGCACGGTCTTCGTGTCAAAAGAAAACTAGAAGTCAACAAAATGGGGACTACGCCCCTTATGTATCATTTTTAAAAATGTTAACTGCATCTACCTTTAAATGATGCTGACATTTTGAAGCTCGATTTTGAGTGTTTTTTTAATTTTACTTCTAGCTTTAATACGCAAACAGGAATTTATAAAAATCGATTATAAGATTATTGTAGTCGCGAATCTGCGTAATTTGATATGTATTTTGTGTATGTAGTATGCACAGCTTCAGAGTAATACTCATCCGAAGGTGCGAATTTTGTGCGATCAAATTTCTAAAAAACCTATTTTTCGGGCCAAATTTTTAGATCTGTCAACTGAATGATATGGGTACCCGCGATCAATAAGGTTTTTTACGTTTCGGATGATATAAAATCTTCTTCGTGAAAATCCATCTACTAGAACGGCGGGAATTGGCCTTCCAAAAACACGAAATTTGACAAAAAATGTTTTTGAAAATATCGCGGATTTATTCGCGTTTTCTATGGATCATTTCCGCTTCAATAAATGACATCATACAGATTTTGATCTTGTTCGAAAAGAGAACTTTAAAAACTTCAGCCGAAAGAGCGATGTACCCAATTTATCTCAAAACTAGTGTGAGCCGGCACATCCATAATTCTTAATGGACCAGATTGAAATCGGTATAGATCGATGTATTTTTTTAGGGTGCACACCGAAATCGGATGCGCGTTAATGGCATATGGAGTTTTCGGAAATTATTCGCGTTTTACGATTTTTTGGGTACTTCAATGTAACGTGCGGCACATCTTAGCCGTCAAATGAAATTTCGCAAAATATATATGGATTGGAAGATAAACTTCAGTAATTCCTGGAAACCGCATGCGCATCAAATGATTTTGAGAATTACGCGAATAAAACGCAATTTATCTCAAAAATAGTGTGAGCTGGCACATCCATGGTTCTTAATGGACCACATTGAAATCGGTATAGATGGATGTATTTTTTTAGGGTGCATACCGAAATCGGTTGCGCGTTAATGGCATATGGAGTTTTCGGAAATTATTCGCGTTTTACGATTTTTTGGGTACTTCAATGTAACGTGCGGCACATCTTAGCCGTCAAATGAAACTTCGCAAAATATATATGGATTGGAAGATAAACCTCAGTACTTCCTGGAAACCGCATGCGCATCAAATGATTTTGAGAATTACGCGATTTACACGCAATTTAAAATGTATATTTCATAATATTATTTTATTTTAAGATTTATTCCTATTTATAGAATTCTAAGATTTACCGGAAGGGTCTTGGTATAATCCGCAAGGGGTATATTTATACACAAAGAGTGATTATTATTATATATGTCAATTTTTCGGCGAAATTCGGGTAAAATAGCAGAATAACCCCAACATTTTTTTCTGAAATTTCTTGTATACAATTAAAAAAATTAATATGATGACATTATTTTTTCGAACCAAAAACAAATATTTTTCCTCAATATCTTGTTTTGTTGTCGCTTTGATTTAGAAACCGCTACACGGACTCGTGTGATTTTGATATCATTTGATTCACCATCGTGTTTAGATTATGTAGATATTTTTAAATTAATTTTAGGTGTGTGTATGTCATTAATATAATGAAAATATTGATGTAATCTGCTATATTTTTTTATTTTTCTCATATTTCGCGAATATGTGCAACTTTATCGCGATTATTATAATATATTCATATTCTTATTTTACGGAGGAAGATATATATCAACGTTTTTGGTCAATATAATAAACGGCGTAATTTTAAGATTTTTTTCTTATGCCCAAAATTAAAACCTCGATAACTTTTGCGCGCATCAACCAAAAATTTGATCGCGAACGGTTTCGGAGTCAGAACATTTTTCTCTATATGTGTACCAAAAATCATAGATGTGCCACAAAAACAAAAAAGCTGATTTTGAAAATGGAATATTAAAAAATTGGCAATATTGCCCATATATATATACATATATATATTTCTTAAATTTTTTGTTGGTTGGGGAACCGGTTATAGTTATCTTAGTTTGATAATTATAAATTTTTGATTTTTTTATTATATATGAATTATGTTAAGTTTTAGGCAGTTTATTGTTTATGTAATACATTTGTATGGCCTCATGAGGCTCTGGTGTTACATTATGAATTAAATAAATAAATAAAGCTCTTCAAAGCCCTCAGAAAATATTCTTTATAAAACGCAGGCATAAAGCTCTTCAAAGCCCTCAGAAAATATTTTTTATAAAATCCAAGCCTAAAGCTCTTCAAAGCCCTCAGAAAATATTTTTTTTTTAATCCAAGCCTAAAGCTCTTCAAAGCCCTCAGAAAATGTTCTTTATAAAATTCACGCCTAAAGCTTTTCTGAACTCTGAGAAAATATTCTTTATAAAATCCAGGCCTAAAGCTCTTCAAAGCCCTCAGAAAATATTCTTTATAAAATTCACGCCTAAAGCTTTTCTGAACTCTGAGAAAATATTCTTTATAAAATTCACGCCTAAAGCTTTTCTGAACTCTGAGAAAATATTCTTTATAAAATCCACGTCTAAAGCTCTTCAAAGGCCTCAGAAAATATTCTTTATAAAAATCCACGCCTAAAGCTTTTCTAAGCTCTCAGAAAATATTGTTTATAAAAGCATTTTTTCGTCTTACGAACCCAACTTACTCTGATATTTGTTGCAATTTCCGCCAATGACCCGCGAACATTTTCAATTGATCTGTAGTAATATTCGTCAATAAATCCGATGAGCAATTAAACTCCAAAGCCTCTCCACAAATGAGAATATTATTATACACTATATTCGGAGCGTAGATGACAATCAAAGTGAAATTTTTGAAAATCTCTGCCAAACGTAATGATTGTTTTCGCTCTGGATTATTCCATTCGACAGCTGGATTTGTATGGAAATTATGATCTTTATTACGCATATGTGTTAAAATTTCATGCCAATTGCCGGAGGCGGCCGAAAACTTTCTCAGCGTCAACTCATATTGACGATCCTCCACCATTGAACCGGGTATACTTAAAATACCCATTGTCGCTGCTTTACCATAAACATCGGGACGTTGGGGTTTACGTTGAAGTGGATTTTGTAAGTTCGGTGTTATATTGATGCTATCAATTTTACATATTAACACTGAACATTGTTGTTGTTGTGCTATTCCATTGGCCAAGGGGAAATAACATGTTATGCCTTTACTTTCAAAATGTACCAATGGCAAATCGGCAGCTTTTACAATCGATTCTTCTTTTATCTTTTTAACCTCATGCAGATTTTCTCCTTCTTTGTCAGTGGCACTCTCCTCCTCCCACATTAGAGCACACAATGGCTGCAAAAATTCTAGTATTCCATCAAAATCCATAATAATTTCCATAGCCTGCATTATAACAACAATTTCACTTATAAAACGATCCATTTCACCTTTACGTTTAACACCAATACGCTTGTAAAAATCTCTCAAGCATACTTTTGTAAGGACAATATTTAAAAATGGCAAATCTGTGGTTTCGGCAATCATTCGGATACGTATACGCTCCTGGGCCAACCATTCGTTTGCGGATTTTTGCTGATAATAATTTAAATTGAAATTGCCAATTTTATTTGTATATTTTGTAAAATCCTGCCCCTGATCAAGGGTGCAGAGGAAATCTTCAAGTTCCAATATGATTTTACTTCGCTGTGGCTGTTCGGGTGCATTGACAACTTCTGCTATGACCTTTGTCACAGTCCATTGGCAGAAAAGGGAGAGTTTATTCAGCAGGGATTTATCTGAAATGAGATGAAAAAAAAAATAATATTAATAGATAGAAGGTTCTAAAAATATGTTTAAAATATCCTCGCCTAAGGCACTAAGAGTCCCTTTAAAAATATATTTAAAATATCCTCGCCTAAGGCACTAAGAGTCCCTTTAAAAATATATTTAAAATATCCTCGCCTAAGGCACTAAGAGTCCCTTTAAAAATATATTTAAAAAATCCACGCCTACGGCTCTAAGAGTCCCTTTGAAAATATATTTAAAATATCCTCGCCTAAGGCTCTAAGAGTCCCTTTGAAAATATATTTAAAAAATCCACGCCTAAGGATCGAAGAGTCCCTTTGAAAATATATTTAAAAAATCCACGCCTAAGGCTTTAAGAGTCCCTTTGAAAATATATTTAAAATATCCACGCCTAAGACTCTAAGAGTCCCTTTGAAAATTTATTAAAAAGATCCACGCCAAAGGCTCTAAAAGTCTGTAGGAAAATATATTTAAAAAATCCACGCCTAAGGATCTAAGAGTCCCTTTGAAAATATATTTAACAAATCCACGCCTAAGACTCTAAGAGTCCCTTTGAAACTTTATTTAAAAGATCCACGCCAAAGGCTCAAAAAGTCTCTGAGAAAATATATTTAACAAATCCACGCCTAAGACTCTAAGAGTCCCTTTGAAAATTTATTTAAAAGATCCACGCCAAAGGCTCAAAAAGTCTCTGAGAAAATATATTTAAAAAATCCACGCCTAAGACTCTAAAAGTCTCTGAGGAAATATATTTAAAAAATGCACGCCTAAGACTCTAAAAGTCTCTGAGGAAATATATTTCAAAAATCCACGCCTAAGGCTCTAAAAGTCTCTGAGAAAATATATTTTAAAAATTCACGCCTAAGGCTCTAAAAGTCTCTGAGAAAAAATATATTTAAAAATCCACGGCGAAGGCTCTAAAATTCTCTGAGAAAATATGTTTAAAAGTCCACGACTTCAAATACTCACATTCACTAGTTGGCTTCGCTGATATATCCGAATTCGAATCGAGATCCATGAACTCCTTAATATGATGATGATCTTCGGTAAGGGTTAGAATTTTCACTGGTTGTTTATTGCAGTTGCCAGCTGATATATCCCTCTTGCCAACCACTATCAGCGAGGACATTTCCATAATTTTCATAAAATGTTGAAAATGTCCTTGCAGCGTCTTGATGTTATTTACATACATATACACCGTCGATGAATCCAAATGTAAATTAAGGCATATTAATTCCTGGACCTTATCACCACCACAAACCCCCTCAGCATTCGCTGCGGCCTTTGGACACATTTTTGGCAATGATGGTGTGGCTGATGATGAATCTTTATAATGTTCACTGCCCGAAAAAATTTCCTTCAATGAACCCGAAGATACCGACGAGTTATCCTGTGACTTTGCAGCATGTTCCGATGTTGGATGTTTCGATTTTTGTTTACTACTTCGTGGTGATGTATGCTGTTGTTGGGTTTTAAAGGTCGGTGATGTATATTCGGAAAGATTGGTGGGTATTGGCAAATTTTGTTTACGTTTATTCATGGCCACCGTGACAGTGGTTTGCCAAGGCTGTAGCACAGCATATAGCTGATCATTTATACTGGTTGCAATAGACAAATCCAAAAATTGTATTGTCCAATTAAAGGTGGTCTTGGTATTTAATGGTGGATTAACTTTTAAACGCAAACTTGAACGTGTTATATATTCGGCAAAAGTTGATTTCAAAATGATGTGGGGCAATGTGAATCGTGTAAAATCCTGGGTATCATCTTTCGATAAATATTTGTGATTTGTTGTTATGTCCATTTGACTTTGTGCTATATCCATATAAATAATAATTGTATTGAATTTTTTAAAATAATTTTTAATTTTTTCTTCGTCTGAGGGTTTGGTTTCTGTTGTCGTTGTAGTTGCTTTGATTTCTTCCGTTAGTAGAGGTTCCGTTGTGGTATATTCTATTCGTTCATCTTTCTCGGAACTGTAATGTATTGTCTCCTCGGGATGGGAAATTTTTCGTAGAGAATTTGAATTCCTTGATGATTTTCTACCAAATACTTGTGGCATAGAGGGATTTGTTTGATAGGCCGTTGAGTGGGCTGAACTTGTGTGGTGACTGCTAGGAACTGCTGGATTTTGTACCGTTTGACTTTGAACATCGGACTCAACTGAAAAGTCTAAAGAAAGAAATAAGGGATAAATTAAAAATTAATAGGAAAATTCAGCAAGAAAATACTAAAGTCGAACCTGTAGGCCTATTCTGTAACTTTTAACAACATTCGACATTGTTTATTTTACAACAATTTCATTTGTTTGTTTTGTTGTTTTTACAAAAGCAAAAGAAAATTAAGCAATTTCGAATATTGTTAAAAGTTACAGAATAGGCCTACAGGTCGACTATATGATACTCTACTCCAATTAGGATATATACAAAAGGAGTTTCTAAGATTTTATTATTGTAGCCAGTAAGTAATACCGATTTAAATCAATAAAATGGGTTTAAAAGATGGGTAAAAAAATCTACCCCTAAGGCTCCAAATGTCCCACAGCCTAAGGCTCTAAAAGTACCTGAGAAAATATTTTTTAAAAAATCTACGCCTACGGCTCTAAAAATCCCTTAGAACATGTGTTTAACAAATCCACGTCTACGGCTCTTAAAGTCCCTCAGAAAGTGTGGTTAAAAAGGCTCTAAAAGTCCCTCAGAAAGTGTGGTTAAAAAGGCTCTAAACGTCCCTCAGAAAGGCTCTAAAATCCCTCAGAAAGTGTGGTTAAAAAAGGCTCTAAAAGTCCTTCAGAAATCCACGCCCAAGGCTCTAAAAGTCCCTCAGAAATCCACGCCTAAGGCACTAAAAGTCCCTCAGAAAAAAATGTTTAAAAATCCACACATAAGTATCTAAAAGTTCCTCAGAAAAAATGTTTCAAAAAATCCAGGCCTAAGGCACTAAAAGTCCCTCAGAAAAAAATGTTTCAAAAAATCCACGCCTAAGGCACTAAAAGTCCCTCAGAAAAAATGTTTCAAAAAATCCACGCCTAAGGCACTAAAAGTCCCTCAGAAAAATGTTTAAAAAATCCACGCCTAAGGCTCTAAAAGTCCCTTAGAAAATAGGGTTAAGAAATCCACGCCCAAGGCTCTAAAATTTCCTCAGACAATATGGATAAGAAATACACGCCCAAGGCTCTAAAAGTCCCTCAGACAATATGGTTAAGAAATCCACGCCTAAGGCTCTAAAAGTCCCTCAGACAATATGATTAAGAAATCCACGCCTCAGACAATATGGTTAAGAAATCCACGCCTAAGGCTCTAAAAGTCCCTCAGATAATATGATTAAGAAATCCAGGCTCTAAAAGTCCCTCAGACAATATGGTTAAGAAATCAAAGGCTAAGGCACTAAAAGATCCTCAGACAATCTGGTTAAGAAATCTACGCCTAAGGTACTAAAAGATCCTTAGACAATCTGGTTAAGAAATCTACGCCTAAGGATTTAAAAGAGAATATAATAAGAATTACAAAATTATGGAACTTACCCCTACAATATCGCTCATCCTCCTGACAAACCAACGAAAGAAAATCCAATAGCTGCTTGTTACAATTGAAATAAAACTTTTCCATCCATATACCAATAGCCATATTAATGGATTCTTTGGGTTCCTTCTTTGCCGATTTCTGATGACTTGTAGACACTTCTCCATTGACTCCCGGATATTGTATATGCACTTCCAACCATTTATTTTGATTATTATGCATCTTCGATGTGGTGTTAAATATATTATAACGTTGAACTTGAACCGATTTTCTTTCCATTAGGACATCTGCCGTAACCGCTGACAAATGAGCATTCCAAATATCAAATGTGTGATAGAGTCTCCGCTTCATTTGCAATTTATTAAATCCACAACTTAAGGCTATGGAATCTGCCAACTCATAAGGATGATTTAAAATTGTTGAAACCCTGATCAACAATTGAGGCTGATATGACCACAACGATTCATACAAATAGAGAGCAGCAAATAATTCCCGTTTCGAGAAATCCATACGTATCTGATCACAATGTAAATCGATTTTTTTAATAGAAACTTCATCCGTTTTCCAGTGATAGGGTTGGAGTAAACTACCATAGGACAAACATAATTTTGGTATTGTCACAAGACGTATTGCAGTGTCCTTAGATGGGGACATTAGACTCAATGTAAAATCACCAATATTCAATTCATAATTATCATAACAGGCATTGAGAAGTTCTTGAGGTTTATCCGGTAGTTGACATGTGGTGTGTACTAGTTTATCGGGATTTAAAGGTGTGGTTAAATAAAGTTCAATAAAATCAAAATTTACCAAAAGAAAAGGAAGGGAATTTTTTATTGATGATGGTAAACGACGATATATGGATCGGCTACTCTGTGCTGATGGTTCAGTTTTGGCAAATATTTCCACTTGCATATATTTCAAATCGATTTTATATTTACACAAGGGCACCCCCTGCATAAGGGCATCATAATCTTCTACCAAAGGTGGATGTAATTTGGGTGAACCATCCACAACACTATTTCTTCCACCAGCATAACTTTCCAAAGGTTCATCGTTGCCTCCCACGGCATCTTGGTGATACGTTGCTATTGTTTTTGTTTTACCTACGGCTGTTGTTGCACTTGAATCATGTATTTCGATTTTCTCTGCATTTGATGACGAATAGGCATTAATTGATGAATCGTATAAATCTATGAAATTTTTAATAATATTTTTAACCTGCATAAATGTTTCATTCAAACGAAATGTTATGCCCGACGACAGCAGACGACATTGCTTGTGTATATCATAGATTTTCTTGCCACTTATATTTGTGGTAATATTGCTGGCATCTTTGGATTCACAAGAACCGGACGCAGAACGATATGTTATAATGTCCAATGCAAATACTGGGCTACGAAAAATGAGATAATCATCAGTGATGCGTGTAACATAATCCTCATAGTTGGTAACACCCCAGCCGCGATCGGCAATCATACATTGTTCATCGAAGAGGGATTTGTCGATGAAGGAACGCATATTGGTGTACTGTAAAAGAAGAGAAATGAATTTGCTATTAATTGAATAAATGTTCCGCTGCACCGAATTTGTATACCCTATTAAGAAAGCATACAAAATTCGACTAAGACTCTAAAAGTCCCTCAGAAAAAATGTTTAAAATATCCACGCCTAAGGAATTAAAATTCTCTCAGAAAAGATGTTTTAAAAATCCACGCATAAGGATCTAAAAGTCCCTCAAAAAAATCCACGCCTATGGATCTAAAAGTCCCTCAGAAAAATGTTTAAAAGTCCATCGAAAATATGTTTAAAAATCAACATCATGGCTCTAAAAAATGTTTAAAAAAACCACGCATACGGCTCTAAAAGTTCCTCAGAAAAAATGTTTTAAAAATCTACGCCTAAGGCTCTAATAGTTCCTCAGAAAAAATGTTTAAAAAATCCACGCCTAAAACTCTAAAAGTACATCAGAAAAAATGATCTAAATGTCCCTCAAAAAATCGACGCCTAAGCATCTAAAAATCCCGGAGAAAAAATTATCTAAAAGTCCCTCAAAAAAAAAAAAAAATACACGCCTAAGGATCTAAAAAACCTTCAGAAAAAATGATCTAAAAGTCCCTCAAAAAATCCAAGCCTAAGGATCTAAAAATCCTTCAGAAAAAAATTATCTAAAAGTCCCTGAAAAAAATCTAAGCCTAAGGATCTAAAAGTCCCTCAGAAAAAATGTTTAAAAAATCCATGCCTAAGGCTCTAATATTCCCTCAGAAAATAGTCATTTACTTACCGGTGATGTCTCCAACAATGCCAACGCCTCATGATTATCTTCCGTACGATATTGACCCAACGGTTCAACATATATCGACGAAAGACCAGCCTTAGTGCTAATCCAATCAATTTCCTTTACCGCCACCCGCTCAAAATACAATCCGCCAAATGTAAAACGTACAATTGGTGTATATCGAATACGTTTTATGCCACCCATAATCGCATCATTAATAAATTCAGAATTTTTCAAAGTAAAATTCAACTCCTCTACATATATGCCGACATCTTTTGTATGGCCCGGGGCATCATCACCTCCACTATCCACTTCATCGGATTCTTCAAATGTAAAACTGGGTAATAAATTCCAGGCCCATGATAAATATGAAGAACCTGCCGCATCGGAGGAATTTTCCGCAACACCTCGTTCTTTATTAACCGAACATGGATCATCTTCGGAATCACTATCACCCGATAATGATGTTAAGAATTTAATGAGACGCATTAACATTGGTATTTGCAGAGATGAGAGGTTTAGATCAAGGGCTTGTGTGAATATACCAATGCGTGTTATACTGCTAGTGGCCAAGGTGTTGCTATTGTATTTCCTCAAAAATCGTATCTCCAAGGTACATCTGTATAATAAATTTTATTTACAAATCGATTGTTAATACCGTACTCTTTTCATCTACATACCTATATAATACCGGTTCCTGACACACATCAATTTGACCTGCAGAATTGCGCCTATCCAAACATATCGTTAAATCCGAAATATTAATTAGTTTACGCATCAACACCTTATGTGGATTCACATCAACCATGGCCGGCTGCCACAACTCATTGGCGGGACAATAACTCAAGTACTGAACATTCATCGACACCACGATGTCCTCCTCAACATATTTCAAAATGATATTCTGACACTGGATATTGATGTTATTGACAATTTTCATTGCCAGCCCCGAACTCATACTCGACGAGTCATCATCTTTCCGCTGCGCCTTTGCATTACCCTCCACCATGGCAGCGCTATGTTGTGGAGAATTGCCAGCCGATGACTTCGCACCATGTTCTACAACAGTTTTAGCCTTCAGCACAAATTCAATGGTATTGATCAATACCTTGATGGGTTCAGATGTTATTTTCGTCCATGGCACCTGTATGGCCAGCTCGTGTATATGTCCCGATAGAAATTCAAATGGTAAATTTAACTCTTGCTCCAAAACATCCAGCCGTAAATCGAGATTTTGAAATGTTACTTCGCCCTCCCACAAAGATACCTGAAAATCTTGTGGTCTAATGTTCTTAACATATTTCGCCAAATAATTGAGTATGATGGGTGTTATATAGGACTCGATTTTAAACATTTTGTTGTGAATTTGTTTGTTTTTTTCCAATAATTCGATTTTTACATGATTATTTAAAAAATTTATTTTTTTATTCTTGGCAATTTGTTGTTTTTGTAGACACGTCAAATAAAAACGACACTCAGACACAAACTGACACAAATATGATAAAAATCGGTAGAATGGAAGAATGACAATAAATTATGGGAATCAAAACAAAATAAATAAATGGGAAAAGCAAAACAAAAACGCAAATAAATGAACTGGGAAAGGAAACAGCTGAAAAACAATCTATGCTGCCATATAAAAATGTTGCCACATTTTTAAAAAGATATCCACATTTGTGGGGAAAAGAAACAGCGACTTGTCCTATCTTTATTCAGATTTTGAATTCAAATAAATATATGTATTTTATTTTTCTGCTGTTACGAGCACTTCCTCCATTATGTTAACAATATTGCACGGCTGTTTTGGGGTTATCCAAAAGTTGTACTATCCCAAGTTCAGGGTTTTGGCACAACAGCTAGTGGCTTTAAGAGTGAAATACAATCGATGATTCAGGCAAGGCATGGGAAAATAAGAAAGAACAAGAAAAACGTGAGCGTGAACAAATCGAGATGTGCAGGAGTCAGAATGAAGTCCAGAAATTTTACCAACGAGTACGACATCAAACCGAAGGTTTGGTGTTGTACTGGTCTCTCTTCGATATATGTTGAATCTTCGTACAGAAGCACGAAGCATTGGCATTGTTGGAGACATCACCGGTAAGTAGTTCATCCCTTAAAACGACTATTTTCTGAGGCAAAATTAGAGCCTTAGGCGTGGATTTTTAGAACATTTTTTCTGAGGTACTTTTAGACACTTTGGCGTGGATTTTTTTAAACATTTTTTCTGAGGGACTTTTAGACACTTTGGCGTGGATTTTTTTAAACATTTTTTCTGAGGGACTTTTAGTGCCTTAGACGTGGATTTTTTAAACATATTTTCTGGGGGACTTTTTGATCCTTAGGCGTGGATTTTTTAAACATATTTCTGAGGAACTTTTAGAGCCTTAGACATGGATTTTTTAAAACTTTTTTCTGAGGTACTTTTAGACACTTAGACGTGGATTTTTTAAACATATTTTCTAAGGGACTTTTGAAACCTGAGGGACTTTTTGATCCTTAAGCGTGGATTTTTAAACATTTTTTTTGTCTGAGGGACTTTTAGAGCCTTAGATGTGGATTTTTTATACATTTTTTTCTGAGGAACTTTTAGACCCTTATATGTGGATTTTTTTAACATTTTTTTTCTGAGAGACTATTTAGATCTTTAGCCGTGGATTTTTTAAACATATTTTCTGAGGGACTTTTAGAGCCTTAGATGTGGACTTTTTAAACATATTTCTAAGGGACTTTCAGAGGTACTTTTAGATCCTTAGGTGTGATTTTGCTAAGTGGCAAAAATTGCTAAATAATATATATTTATAAATATTTTGAAGTTCCCTGCCTCTAAAACTTATAAATATAAGCTGTAAAAACCATGGTTAAATCTTGAGAGCAATGTTCAGCTTTAGAAAATTTATTTTGTTTTATTTATTTAAAATATGCCAATCGACATACATAAAATTTTATGGAATTTGTTTTTCATGTTGTTTAAAATTGATAGACGAGTTCCAAATTAAAAAGTGTTGCCATCATCAAATTCTCAAATGAGAATATCTTCTGAACTTAAACTCCTTGTACATTAGAACTTTTTACCGGGTTAACCTACTTTATGAGGATTTATTTGACGTATATGCAAAGGAATTGACAATTGAAACCCACTGGGTTAACGAAATCCGGTTAAATGTAAACGTACTATTATGCCCTGAATTATGTTTAGCAGGGATTTTGAATTTTCAAATTTCAAATAAAACATAAGAGGACTTCAGGCTTGTCATGTTAAATTGGGTTTATATATTGTAAAAGAATAAAGGAGAACGGCGTCCCAAAAATGTTTAACTCTGATATTCCTTTATAAATGGATATTTGATACAAAGCCTGAATCTTCGTATGTGTTTCCTCCTTAACAGTTTTACATATAATCCGACGAACCGAACATAAGCATGCCAATTCCCAACTATTGTAAGTTTTTGACGTTTTAACTTAATACATCGAATCAATATTTTCATTCGAACTTAACAACATCGAAGAAAAGCTGAAATATTAATTAATAAAGTATATCCTCTGGTCGAAAATGTCAATGCTAAAGTGTATACTTCAAATAAACCTGATAGATTGTCACATCAGTTTTACATAAAATCAACTCCTGGAACACATCGGGGTTGAGCAATTAATTGACTTGTATTTTCCTGCAAATAATACATCGACTTTAATTTTAATAAGTGATACATAATTCCAATGAACTTACCTGTGATATTTACTATTAGCTTAATATAAGCATTCGATTAATTTTTGTAATTCTTACTGTGATATTTATATATTTAATTTATTTTTAATAATTCTTTAACTTTATTTTAAAGTATTCTTTTGTTTACATTTGTCATTGCCTAAACAGACATCTATTTTGTTTTTAAGTCTATTTATATTTGGCAGACGTCAATTGCGCTGTCCGCTAATGTATAGGCCGGGAGCAAGCCTTTTCTCTTTCTTACAGCATGTTTTCACATTTATCATACGTAATTATCGTTTGCAATGTTGCATATCTCCTTCAATGTGTTAGAATAAAGGTACATTTACATATACGATTTTAAATCGACTCGATTAACAAAATCCAGAAATACACCCTTAATCATGTTCTAAATGCCGATCAGCTGATGTTTGTTAGTATACATACAAAATTATTAATTTGCGCCAAAAATATTTGTTTGCAATTTGTAAAAGAATAGAAGAATTACCACAATGGAAATGTTTTTGCAATACTGTGATCGTTTGGAAAGTAAAAAAAAAAACACCTAAAAACACAAAAATTCTATAAATAATTTTTATTTTCCTTTGATCTGTCATTTTTGTATTTGTCAGCCGTTAAATTTAAAAACAAACGGCATGTAAAAACAGTTGCAAATTTTGGTACATTGTGAGAGAGTTGTATTTTTTCGTACAAAACCCACGTTGCATCTCAGTAGTATCATGATTTCGATCATGATTTAAAATAAATCCTGCTGCACGATGATTTAAATTTGTGTGGTAAATCATGGTAAATTTAGCCTGATTAAGAAAATAAACCCTGATTCAGCCTTTAATCATGATCAAAAGTTATATGTAAATCCGCTTTAAGACGTCTATAGTTCTAACTAGTCTAATCATTATCTGTACATGAAACTATGTTATCGAAAAGAAGAAGAGTCTCAATAAATTTACTTACTTACTTCAAATAAAGTCCACTAGATTTACTAATAGCATTTACTTGATAGAATTGGCATGTGAAACTATTATGTAAACATTGCATGACATTCACTACAATTATCGGCGGCCATTTTTGTAAAATAAGTGTACCAACGCCGTTAACTCCGGCGCCTCCGTCCTTTAATTATTGAACGGCGTTTGTACACAGCCCTCTCACTCGCACAACAGACTGGCTTCGGTCTGTGGACCTCATCATTTAACAAGTTTTTTCTTTGTATTCTTTGTATAAAATTGACGAATACACCAAATCAATCTTGAATAAAAACCATAAAAAAATGCCTGGTATATGAATTGTGGCCAAGTAGAAACACGAAAATAACTACAATTAAGAACTACAATTGGAACTTCCTGTGCATTGGTGCCGTAAATTGCAAGGAGGAAAAAAATTTGTAAAAAATCGATCAACTTGTCAATTTTTTGTGTGATCTCAGAGGAAAAACCGTCATTCGCCTTGTATTGGGGACACTGGGATAATGGAGTACCAATTTAGCAGCAATATTAGTTGATAATTCATCGTCTTCGTCGTCGTTTCTTACGCAGAATCCCTTCCGTGCATCGGCATCATTAACGAGATTCATAGGGGCGCATCGGCAGCGGAACAGACATCAGCAGCACATACAACACCAACACAATTCACATAACATACAACTCGTAAGACTATTATTGGGAGCGGTAAAGGATCATAATATAAACAGCAGCAGCAACAACAACACCATTAATACCAACACGAAACAGGCTAAGTAGTAGTAGTTAAAAAAAACAACCAAAATATATAGGTCGGATCTCATTACAATAATAATAAATAATAATAATAACAACCACTACAACAACAACAAACAGCTTTAACATATATAGGAAAATATGGTGGGTTCAAAAGCACAACAGCAACAACTACAACAGCCAAGTACTCAGCAATCTAGTAGCAAACACCATCATCTTCATCACACGGCACCGACTGCAATTCAAACAGCAGTTAAGCATACCCATCATCATGCCGCAGCGTCACCCGCAATATCTGTCAATTCACCGTCATCCCTATCCACCACCAGTAGCAACAAAGACACATTAAACGGCAGCACCATTGGTGGTGGCGCTGGCGGCAGCATGGTCGAGAATCCATCTAGCCAAATGTACTCCTCTCCCAGGAGCTTGAACAGCAGCAGCAGCATTAGTAGCTGCTTCCGCAACAATAGCATCAATAAAATTAGTATAAATCCATTTCATTCACTTATTGGATCGCACCCATCTGTCTCATCGTCATCGACATCCATAGCTTTTGATGCGAACATAAACACTGCCTTATTAAGCAAACAAAAATATGCCCAAAATGATTACAGGAACAGCAAACCACAACTGCAACAACAAAAATCCCAGCCACCACCAGCAGCATATGATGGTGATAAATCGGATGGTGCCACCAAGTCCAAGGAAACTTCATCAAGCGCAGCACAGAACACAACATATTCCACTCACTACAACACCATCACCACCACCACACCGGCAACAACAAAAGATTTACTGAAGAATACAAATGCAAAAACAATACCCACAAATACTCCAACAAAGCAACAACAACAAACATCTGCCAATAAACACCTAACAAAGACCACGACCGCTGAACCGGCTAATGCAGAAGGTTCGCCCACACACACAACAAACGGTGACATCCAGGCGAAGTCGGTGAGCAACGCCTTAGTACCCCTGACAGCTACCCAGAACAGTCTGTTCTCATTCCACGAACAAATCCTAATGTCTGGCCAGCAGAAGAGCGCCTTGGCCGAAAAGCCCAAGCCCTTGATAGTGTCACCGCAGCAGGTCATGGTGCTATACATGCACAAATTAACGCCCTACGAACGCACAGAAATATTGGCGTACCCGCAAATTTATTTCATTGGTGCCAATGCCAAGAAACGCCCCGGTATCTTTGGTCCCAATAACTGTGATTATGACAATGAGCAAGGTGCCTACATACATATACCCCATGACCATGTGGCATACCGCTATGAAATGCTCAAGGTTATCGGCAAAGGCAGCTTTGGCCAGGTCATCAAGGCCTTCGATCATAAGACACACGAGCATGTGGCCCTAAAAATGGTGCGTAACGAAAAACGTTTTCATCGCCAGGCCCAGGAAGAGATACGTATACTGCACCATCTGCGTCGCCAAGATAAATACAACACCATGAACATCATTCACATGTATGACTATTTCACCTTCCGAAATCACATGTGCATTACATTTGAGCTGTTGAACATCAATCTCTACGAGCTAATCAAAAAGAATGGCTTCAAGGGATTCTCGCTGCAGTTAATGCGTAAATTTGCCCACTCCCTACTGCAGTGTCTGGATGTCCTATACAAGAATGAGATTATCCATTGTGATATGAAGCCCGAAAATGTATTACTCAAACAACAGGGTCGTTCCGGCATCAAGGTTATTGACTTTGGTTCTTCGTGTTATGAAAGCCAACGTGTATACACGTATATACAGTCGCGTTTTTATCGGGCGCCCGAAGTTATTTTGGGTGCCAAGTATGGTCGACCCATTGATATGTGGTCACTGGGCTGTATATTGGCGGAACTATTATCGGGACGTGCTTTATTCCCCGGGGAAAATGAAGCAGATCAATTGGCCTGCATTTTGGAAGTTTTGGGTATGCCACCCAAACATTTATTGGCCAATTCTAAACGTGCCAAAATGTTCTTTAACTCGGAGGGATATCCTCGTTACTGCACCGTACGCAATATGTCCGATGGAACTGTGGTGCTGGTAGGTGGACAATCTCGCCGAGGAAAGACTCGTGGACCACCCGGCTCTAAGAGTTTGTCAAAGGCTTTGGATGGCTGCAATGATCCTTTGTTTTTGAACTTTATACGTGGATGTTTAGAATGGGATCCGGAGAAGCGACTTACTCCCGCTGAGGCACTGAAACATCCTTGGCTGAGGAGGCGCCTGCCAAAACCACCCAGTAGTCATCCCAATGCCATAAGCGGTAGCAGTGGTGCCGGTAGCACATGTGATGAAAAATCCCCAATCAGTGCAAATCCGAGCAGTGATAGCGGCAGAGCCAGTGGCTCCTCGGCCAATACGGATATTCGTAAAATTGGCCATTCTAAAGACTGCCTAGCAACACTCACCGCCATTGGCACCGTGGGACCCTTGGTGTCCTCATTAATCTCATCGCAACAACAACAATCTACAGATTCTCTGTGGGGCCATCATCAAACATCGAGTACATCTCACCAGAACGATGCAGGAAATAATAGGACATATAGCAAATTATCAACCACCTCCGAATTTCTGGGTGCGTATACTACGGATTCGAACTTGATCCATTTATCATCGGCATCGAATAGCAATACTCAACCGAGGCGTGGCAGTGATAGTCACTCCCTCTCTTCCAAGTTGTCGGCATCAAAGTCAACTGAGGAATAAATCTATCAATCAATAAATTTTGTCGAAAAGATACAAAACAAAAGGAAATAAGAAACGAAAAACAAATTAGAGAACAGAAACAACGATTTTCTGTGTTTGCGTGTGTGTGTTTTTAGCAGCAACTCGTGTGTCGTATTTAGTTTAACTTAACGTCGTATGTACAGTATTTAGTTTGTTATTATTATAAGTCTGAAATTGTTCATTCGAATTAGTGTGTTCATATAGATTAAAAATATTATGAATGTCGTCGTCGTATGATTTATTATATAGTTATTATTACATATATTACTAAAATATTAATATTACAAATAATAATAATAATGATTTTCATTTAATAAAAATATCCACTAATTCTGGAAAGCCTTTCAATTGCAAGACAATTTTGTATGTTTTGTTAGACATAGACATTAAGTTTGCATCGCATAGAACGCGTGAGAGAAACATCAAAATTTTTGTATTCATTAAAAAACACTAAATTAAATTAAATGTCATATATAATAACTAGTAGATTACGAGTTCAACACCGTATTTAATTTGAAAACAAAACAGCAAAAACAAAAAGCTTTTGAATTTAAAACCCCATTTATGATTTACATTAATAAATCGGCTAATTATAATTTTTTTTAAAAAAAATTTGAAATGTGTTTTTATTTTTGGTTGAACTTTTGGAAAAACAAAAGTACATTGGAATGATTTTAGAAACAATGGAATGATAGATAATTAACGACCATGGTATAATAATAGAAGGTAACAGCAAGTGTTGTTGTACAAAAAACGATACAACAACCACATTGAAATTTGTTGTTGTAAGTTCTACTAGTGTCAACTCATTTGACAGAAAAATGTAAACAAACAAATTATTTTTATTTTGAAAATGAAATATTTTCGAATCCTCAAAATAAAAATTGAAAAACATGAATGAAAAGCTATCAAATTTATATTTCTATCGCTTCCACATCTTTCCTATAATTGAGCCATTGCCATATATATGTGTAACACATATGAAAATGCTGGGAATAGCGAGTTATTCCTTGAAGAAAGATTTGCTTCCTCAAACTTTCCCAGCAGGCAGATTGAGTAAATTGAATACGGGAGCACATTTAATAAAGAACAATTTCAAATTGTATCCGTTGCCAATTTTCCTGTTGGGTGATTTTTAAAAACATAACTTGTCAAATTCATATTGACACTAGTATTACGTTGGAATCAAATCAGCTGGGATTTGCTGTTAACTTTTATAATTGTACCATGATGAACGACCAAACAAAAAATGTCTGAAATTAATATATTGAAATTGTTATTTCAATATATTAATTTTTATTATTTGACCCTTTCAGGGGGGAGTATCAGAAGATGTTAACTGGTGTGTTCTATATTCGGGCTTGATCTGGATTTTGTAAAAATATTACTATTGGATCCATTCGGTTCGTAATGGACCAAGAAATTCCACATTATAAAGGCTTGATTAAAATATTAATTTGCGCAAATATATGGTTAGCAAAATTTTGACCATTTGGGACCAAATGGAGTGGACCGTACACACTAGCAAGATCGAAATCTGTTAATCGAATGCAAATTGTTTGAAGCGGATGTAGTCCAAGGGAACTTTGGGTCTAAAACCATGTTAAAAAATAGCCATTAAATAGAACGATTTGCGCAATTTGAAATGAGTGAGATTTTAGAACCTACCCTGATGAGGAATTAGCCAAACAAATAGATATAAACTTAACGGACTTCGTAGCGTTTTAAATAACGAGAGACGGTTGAATATATATGTATGTCTATAGGTCGACTCCAACTTTTTAGAAATTTTACCACAATGTTCAAACTTTATAAACCTATTGCATTCGTAAAGTCTTCAGATGTGGAGAAATCACATAGTTTTTGAATGCATCTTCTTGTATTATTAAATTTACGACATCCAAAGATTATATTTGCAGCCGTTTAGGCTTCTCCGCAGACCTCGCATAAGTTATTTGGTATCACATTCCAAATTCGTATTTTGTATTATGCGTTTCCTTGAAGGTTAAACTTACCGGTCTCTTAATTTGACGCCTAACAACACTACTTTTCATGATATCGATAACTTAGGTAGCTAAAACTATCGATATTTTTGTTGTAAACAAAAAACATATGTTTTTCGTATCCTAACCTAGCGTAGTTTGCGTGTCAAATAAACTGTTTTGTTATTTTCTTTTCTGCAAACGATTTCTTTTGTGCTGGACAACAAATTCAGATAAAATGCCTCAAACATTGGATAAAAAGGATGATTTTGGTAATTGAATTTAATTATTTATATTAATATAAGGATAATTATTATAACTATTCTTTGTTGCAGATGTGGTCAAATATTTTCTTAAACTATTGGATGATGACAAGGATTTGTCGTCGGGCATAGCTGCTATTAAGACATTGCTAATGATATTGGAAAAGAAACAATGTAAGTTGGGAATTATGGAACAATGGAGATTACTTAGGACTCGGTCACGAAAACTTTTTTAAGTGTTGCCCACATTTTAAGCATATATTTTTGTATTACCCATGATATGGCCCGTCAGAATTTCATAAGCCTGCCGGCTTTGGGACTCAAATAGATTGAAGGCTTAAGTATATTTTACACGCCCATCCGGAGATTTTTTTAACAAAAAATAGGTGTCGCAATGTATATTTTTAAAATCGACTGATATAATTTTTTTTCTGATTCCTTCTAGTCGGAACCATTCACATCTTACAAAATACCATGTTGGAGGCTGTGGCCGCTATGCGCAACACCGATTTATCAATTGCTGCTGTTGTATCGGGCGGTGAACTGTTTTGCCGTTTCATCACACTCAGTTTAGATGATCGCGGCATGGAAGAGTGTCGTGAAATTATGTTGCATCGTGGCAAAATATTCTTAACTAAGCTTTTAAATTCACGTAACGTTATTGCTCAACAAGCTCAAAGATTTATAACCGATGGCTGTCGTGTTTTGACTCACTCAAGATCACGTGTTGTCCTAAAGGCTTTGGTGACAGCGGCCAAGGCCAATAAACAATTTCATGTTTTCGTAACACAAGGTGGCCCGGATAATTCGGGGTAGGTGGTTTTGTTATGGCTTAAAAAAGTAATGTTAAATAATTTGTTTATATTTCGTTTTCTTTAGAGAACAAATGATTGCCGATTTGGAGAGGGCCGGCATTGATTGCACATTAATTTTGGATTCGGCTACAGGTTATGTTATGGAATCTGTGGATTTTGTAATGGTGGGTGCGGAAGCTGTTGTGGAATCGGGTGGCATCATTAATCGCATTGGTAGTTTCACTATGGGTCTTTGTGCCCAAGAGATGAAGAAACCATTTTATGTTTTAGCCGAAAGTTTTAAATTCACACGATTGTATCCTCTTAATCAAAGGGATTTACCAGATGAATATAAGGTAATATAACACATTTATTATTTTTATTAAATTCCTATGGAAGGAATGTGAGGGAGATACAATCGATATTGATAGGCGTGGATTTTTAATTATATTTTTTCAATGACTTCAAGAGCAATAGGCGTGGATTTTTAATTAGATTTTTTTCAAGGACTTCAGAGCAATAGCCGTGGGTTTTTAATTATATTTTTGTCAAGGACTTCAAGAGCAATAGGGGTGGATTTTTAATTATATTTTTTTCATTTACTTTAAGAGCAATAGTCCTGAATTTTTAATTAGATTTTTTTCAAGGACTACAAGGGCAATAGGCGTGGATTTTTAATTAATTTTTTTCAATGACAAGCAAGGGCGTGGATTATTAATTAGATTTTTTCAAGGACACCAAGGGCAATAGGCGTGGATTTTTAATTCATTTTTTCAAGGACACCAAGGGCAATTGGCGTGGATTATTAATTAGATTTTTTCAAGGACACCAAGGGCAATAGGCGTGGATTATTAATTAGATTTTTTCAAGGACACCAAGGGCAATAGGCGTGGATTATTAATTAGATTTTTTTCAAGGACTCCAAGGGCAATAGACGTGGATTTGTAATTATATTTTTTTCAAGGACTCCAAGGGCAATAGACGTGGATTTGTAATTATATTTTTTTCAAGGACTCCAAGGGCAATAGACGTGGATTTGTAATTATATTATTTTCAAGGACTTCAGGAGCAATGGGCGTGTGTAACAGACAAAAGGAAACGAGGTAGACCCAGGGTTCCTTTTGAGAATATGCATAGAATCACTTCCTGAGTTGATTTATGCAAGACCGTCCGTCTGTTGATGTTAAATTGTAAACAAAGTACAGGTCGCATTTATCATCCGATTTGGTTGAAATTTGGCACAGCTCATTCATTTATTTTTTTTTTTTTAATTATTTTCCATTGTTTTGTGGTTCACTTGAATTCTTTTTAAACCACTTTTTAAAATGTTGTTTTTTATTTTTCTTCTAGTACTCTCGCAAACATTTGAGTGATGTCTCGAAAGTCCATCCCCTGGTCGACTATACACCACCGGCTTACATCACATTGCTTTTTACCGATTTAGGCATTCTAACTCCCTCAGCTGTAAGTGACGAGTTAATAAAACTTTATATGTAAGCTTATTATTTTCCGCTTTTATTACACATCGTGTCAAAATAAAATTTGTCTGTTTTTTACAAAAATATATTTGTAATGAATCCAAAGTAAAACATAAAAAAATAATGATTTTTTAAGACTACAAGAAAATTAATTTGGGAAGCTATATGTGTGGACGATTTATAACTAATTGTCACTATCATCATCGTCTGGATTCGTATCGGAATCAGTTGTGTACTCTTCATAGGCATCATCGTCGTCATCATCATCATCCAAATAATCATCATCGTCGGCATCAAATTCAGCAGCGGCCTGACATAAAATGAAGAAATATTAATTTCAAAGGAAAATAAATTTTTATTTTGGAAAAAAACATATTTAAATAAAACAAGTATGGAGAGATCCTTGAAAATAATTCTATTGAGGGTGTCTTGACACAGTCAGTATCTCTGCGAGAGAGAAGTGAAATTTCTCCACACTACTTACCACTTGACCCGATTGAAAATTAATTTCAATTTGCAATCGTATGTCCATAATTAAAAAAGCTGTTGTCACCAAAACGGGAATAGTCATGCGACTCTTCCAAGCCAAATTGGTGAGAAACATAAATATTTCACCAAATGCCGAGTTCATTGTGCTTTCGTTTTGTATTCGATTTGGGATAAAAAAATGGAGTATTTATTCTTCTTTATCGGCTTGCTGGTAATTCACCGTCTTCTTCGGCGTCTGCCTCCAAACGCTGTTCTTCCAACTGATCGTATTTAACTATGTGAACAGTTTCACCAACTGTTACAGCCTGAACTGGTTGTATTTGACGATATAGATTATGTACTGCCGAATCGGAATTAATGCTGGCCTCCAATTCTAGCATTAAATCATTATTTGAATTATTCCCAGACAAATCACTTTGTATTAGTGATCGTAGGCAGTCGTCGCGTTTTTCCGATAGAGCTTCAACAAGTTTGGAGTTCTTTTTTAATTTGTCTAATTTGCGTTCTAGAAAAAAGAGGGAAATAAAAGAAGATTATTATTATTAAAATTTTAAACAAAAAGGAAGGATGGGATTTAGAAATTTGTTTTTTTTTAATTTTTGTAGGTTATAGGCCATGGTACAATTATAAAAGGTAACAGCAAATCCCAGCTGATTTGATTCCAACGTAATACTAGTGTCAATATGAATTTGACAAATTATGTTTTTAAAAATCACCCAACAGGAAAATTGGGAATGCATACAATTTGAAATTGTTCTTTATTAATGTGATCCCGTATTCAATTTACTCAATCTGCCTGCTGGGAAAGTTTGAGGAAGCAAATCTTTCTTGAAGGAATTACTCGCTATTCCCAGCATTGTCATATGTGTTACTCATATATATGGCAATGGCTCAATTAAAGGAAAGATGTGGAAGCGATAGAAATATAAATTTGATAGATTTTCATTCATGTTTTTCAATTTTTATTTTGAGGATTCGAAAATATTCCATTTTCAAAATAAAAATAATTTGATGATAATTTGTTTGTTTGTTTACATTTTTCTGTCAAATGAGTTGACACTAGTAGAACTTACAACAAAAAATTTCCATGTGGTTGTTGTATCGTTTTTTGTACAACAACACTTGCTGTTACCTTTTATTATTATACCATGGTTATAGGCATGGATGTTTTTAATTATATTTTTCAATGGCTATCAGAGCTATAAAAAAGATTTTAGGGACCCTCATAGTCATAAGTGTAGATTTTAAACCACAAACTAGGGTTATTAGGTCTAAAGACAATAAAATATATATTTAACCCCTCTTAATCGTATTGTAAACATCTTTCTCTGAAAGTGTATGTCCACTTTTTTCCTTCACTGTATATATACTATATACAACCTAATTACTTTGTTGACAACATTAAATCATGACAACTCTATTGATTTATATCCACAAAATTTAATTCCCCATATAACTTACCTAATCCTTTTAAATATGTTTGCGAATCCGGTAGTGGTTGATGCTCTGGTTTCTGATTATCAGTAGTAGTATTTGATTTTTCTTGTTCGTTTTTGTCGCTATCACAATTATTATTTTCAGCTTCTGCAATAAAACTATCCTCAAACCCCAAAGATGCGTTTTCAGATTCTGTAGTATTATTAGTGCCGTTAGTTACTGTTCCGTTTGTGTTCGAGTTTTCTGGATGTTGGACCTTCCAAGGGTCTAAATCGGTCATTGTTTATGTCAAATAAAAACACAATTGTATTTTTTTTTGTTTTTTCTTTCTTTTATGTCGATTTGTGTCGTTTAACGAAATGTGTTCAGTTAAAGTGTTCACGGAGAGGGATTGTAGGGAAGTAGTTAAATAGGGTTCACGCTATTCACTGTAAAATGACTACTCATCATGGCATGACTCGCTGTAAACGTACACGGATTTTTTAAATAATATTTGTGTGGGACTATTATAAACGTGGATTTTTTAATAATGTTTTTCAATCAAGTATTACAAGCGTAGATTTTTGAAACAACTTTGTGGGGACTACCAGGAGGCGTGGATTTTGCTAAATAATATTTTTCAAGGACTATTATGGCATAGTTGTTTTAAAATAATTTTTATATTTTATTTAATATTTTTCAGGGACTATCGAAAGGCGAGGATTTTTTAAAGAACATTTGTCAGGGACTATCGAAAGGCGTGGATTTTTTAGAGGACATTTGTCAGGAACTATTGAAGGGCGTGGATTTTTAAAGAATATTTTTCTGGGATTATCGGATGGCGTCAATATTTTTTCAAATGTGTATTTTTTAAAGAATATTTTTCAGGGACTATCGGAACGCGTCAATATTTTTTCAAGTGTGTATTTTTTAAAGAATATTTTTCAGGAAGGCGTCAATATTTTTTCTAGTGTGTATTTTTTAATGAATATTTTTGAAGAATGCCGGAAGTCAAGGGTTCTACAAAGCTTTGATTTCCTCAGGGGCCCTACAAAGCTTTGAAGGGATACAAAGCGTGGATTTTGTCAAGGGCTCTAGAAAACGCATAAGTGGTCTACTACGCTTGGATTTTGGAAGGGTCCTACAAGGCGTGTATTTTATAAGATATCTTCTTAAAGAGTGGATCTTTTACAGGATATCTTCTCAAGTGCCCTACAAAGCGTTGATTTTGTCAAGGGTTCTAGAAAAAGAAAATGTTGGCAGGGATTTTGTAAGGGAATTTTTATATTTTCTCGGACTTGATTTTTTAACAAATAAATCTACTTCTTCTTATCTAATTGTTGCTCCTACTCTACAGTCTGATAAGGGAATTTTTATATTTTCTCGGACTTGATTTTTTAACAAATAAACCTACTTCTTCTTATCTAATTGTTGTTCCTACTCTACAGTCTGATAACTCATTTAAGAACCTCTGAAGATGTTGAAATTATCAGAAATCATCTACGATATTACTACCCTCAAAAAATAAATAAAACGGGTTAATAATTAAATAGGAAATTTACAGACTCATTATATACGCAACTACCCTTTATTAATTTTTTTGGTTGTTACTCCCCCATGGATACCATCCTATTCACTACTGTAGGTTACATTAACCTCTGAAAAGGTTATAGGTTATATATAGAATAAAAAAGTTAGCTAGATGCTTCGGAAGCACTTTTGCTCCTCCCTGCTACTGTAGTAACCCTATATTTTCATAAGGATCATTTCCGTGAAAAAAAACTAAAAAATTTTCTATTAAAAATGTACGGGAACACAACATTGTTTATACGTCATCCACTAATTCCCTTTCAAAACATATGTTGCTTTGTGTTATCAATCCATAGTGAACAACATTAACAAACAAGAAGCAGAGCTTATAAGCCACATTTTTGAAAAACGTAAACATTTTATAAACTTTAAAAGAATTCACTAAAAAATCTATCAAAAATGGTTACAAATGATACAAAAATGCAAAGTGACTCTGCCACAAATCGTGATGTTAAAATACGTTCGTTGAATTGTGAATTGAACCCTTTAACACGGACCGATGGCTCGGCACTTTTCGCCCAGGGAGGAACATGTGTAATGGCATCGATATTGGGACCTGTTGAAGTAAAATTACAAAACTTGAATATAGACAAAGCCTATGTGGAGTGTATTTATAGGCCCAAGTCTGGATTACCCACAATAAGGGATAGAATGCGTGAAACGGTAATTAAAGATACATGTGAGGCGGCTTTGTTATCGGCCATGCATCCCAGGACAATGGTATCCGTGCAAGTACAGGAATTGGATGATAGAGGGGGTGTAAGTAGAATCATGTTATTATGTTTAATATTGATATAAAGTATTTTGTTTCTTTTTTATTTTTATAGTTGGATGCCTGTGCCATTAATGCTGCCTGTATGGCTCTCCTAATTGGGGGCATTCCCATGAAATTTACCGTGGCTGCAGTTTGCTGTATTGTCGATAAAAATGGCCAGTTAATATTGGATCCTGATTATGGCCAAACAAATGAGAGTCGTGCAAATTTCACATTTGTTTTTGATTCCTTGGAAAGGGATTTGGTGACTGTGAACAGTACAGGATGTTTTAAAATGGCACAATTCAATGATGCCTACCTGATGTGTCGTGCTGCCAGCGGAGTTATATTTGATTTCTATCGTAAAATAATGACTAAATTCCATACAAAAACAAATCCCACAACAACATCGCTTATGGAGGGAGACGAAGCAATGGAAGATTAGAAATTTAGTTAACAAAAATATATTTCTTATATTAGAAAACTAAAAACAACAATTTGTTCTAATTATTTACACTTTAGAATGATAGTCTAAAATAGAACTTAGATATAAGGGTTCACCTTTCAATACTTGTGAGTTGGATTCCTGTATGTGTGCCACCACATAATCACCCACCGATATTGTTCGTCTGTGTGTACCATCTTTTCCTTCTGGTAATTCCTTAATTGGTACTATGACTTTAATATTTGCATCATTTCTTCCGAAAACATAATCTTCGGATCTCTTACTGGTGCCTTCAATTAAAATTAATTCATTACGTCCCTCATATTCTTTGTGTAATTCTGTGGCGCCTTGACGAAAAGCTTTTACCATTCGTTGTAATCTGATAGTCTTTACATCTGCAGGAACATCATCTTTATATCTACGATGGGCAGTGGTTTTCTCCCGCATGCTATAGGCAAAGAGAAAGGCTACATTATAACGCACCTTTTCTATTAGATCTACAGTGTCTTGGAATTCTTCCTCAGTTTCTCCACAGAAGCCACAAATGAAATCACTCGATAGACCAACTTGTGGAATATATCTACGTATAGTATCGACTAGCTGTAGATATGCTTCCCTGGTATAACCTCTACGCATACGTTCTAAAACACTATTCGACCCCGACTGGGCGGGAAGATGTAGATTTTTACACACATTTGGATAATCGCGTATAATCCTCAATACATCTTCCGAGAAATCTTTGGGATGGGGTGATGTAAAACGTATACGGACATCGGGCACGGCTTCCGCTATTTCCTGAAGTAAAACCGAAAATGGTAAACCTCCCTTCTTCGGTTTGTATACTGTCTTAAATCCGGGGGCAGTTGATATATCCTTGGCGGGTGCCTCTTTTGATGTATCTCTATAGCTGTTTACATTTTGACCCAGCAACGTTACTTCCTTGATGCCATTATCCCTTAAAGTTAACACCTCTTGCTTGATTGATTCCACTGCCCTGGAACGCTCTCTACCACGGGTAAATGGTACAATACAATATGTACACATATTATCACAGCCTCTCATAATCGAAACAAATGCCGTGGGAGAATCTGTATTCAGCCTTACCGGCATAACATCGGCATAGGTTTCATCTAAACTCAGCAGCACATTAATAGCGGATTGTTGATAATGTCTGGATATCGCCAGCAAGCGGGGTAGATCTTTATAACTATCCGGCCCTGCAACAACATCTACACATTTCTCTTTTTCCAATAGCTGCTGTTTCAAACGTTCCGCCATACAACCCAGTACTGTGATTTGTAGGGGACCTTTTTTCACCGATCTCTTTTCTTTCATAGATTTCAGGTGATTTAAACGATTCCAAATTTTAGTTTCAGCACCTTCCCGCACAGCACAGGTGACAATCATTATAACATCAGCATCCTTAATGTCATTGCACTTGGTATAACCATTTGCCTCCAAAATGGCCAATACCACTTCCGTATCATTTGTATTCATTTGACAGCCATATACCTCAAAGAATACCCTACGGCCGTTACCGCTATAACTTTCAATCGGAAGATATGGGATAATATTCTCTTCAGATTCTTCTTGACGTCTCATTCGTGAAACCGCCTTGACATTGAAAAATTCCTGTAATCCCGGTCCGGCCGAAACACGTTCAAGAAACGTTTTTCTTTCTAAAGGTTTTGGAGACTGGGTGTTTGGAGCCGCCGCAGCAGTACTGAAGTTGGCTGGCTGCGAGGAAAACACACGTACATGTTGTCTACTACCGTACCACGTCAAAATCCTTTGTAGTTTCATTTTATTTCGCGATTTGTATTAAATAATTTTATTCCGAACACAGCGAGAGGAGGCGATCTCGAATTATACAATTGTCGTTGTTCTATGGGATGGGAATGCCACCTTTATCAAAATTGTCGGTGTGGTGAAAAGAGATGAAATAGGGTTCAAAACATAACTGATAACACAGAATCAAAACAAAACTGATAAGATGGATGGACCAGGTGTAACAAATTGGAATCATCAAGGCGCACTGAAAATGTTTAGAATGGGACCAAAGCATAATAGAAGAAAACATATGTAAATGAGCTGCCATTTTACAGTGAATAACAACTTATTATACAGGAAATAGGATATTTTTAGACGTTTAGATATAACTTGTTCTTCCGCGCCTTCTGATAACCCTTGAAAAATGAATCTTTAAAAAAACCACGGCTTATGTAGGCCTTGAAAAATGAATCTTTAAAAAATCCACGCCTTATGTAGGCCTTGTAAAATGAATCTTTAAAAAATCCACGCCTTATGTAGGCCTTGTAAAATAAATCTTTAAAAAATTCACGGCTTATGTAGGTCTTGTAAAATGAATCTTTAAAAAATTCACGCCTTATGTAGGCCTTGTAAAATGAATCTTTAAAAAATCCACGCCTTATGTAGGCCTTGCAAAATAAATCTTTAAAAAATCCACGCCTTATGTAGGCCTTGTAAAATGAATCATTAAAAAATTCGCGACTTATGTAGGCCTTGAAAAATGAATTTTTAAAATATCCACGGCTTATGTAGGCCTTGAAAAATAAATCTTTAAAAAATACACGCCTTATGTAGGCCTTGAAAAATGAATTTTTAAAATATCCACGGCTTATGTAGGCCTTGAAAAATAAATCTTTAAAAAATCCACGCCTTATGTAGGCCTTGAAAAATAAATCTTTAAAAAATCCACAGCTAATGTAGGCCTTGAAAAAGTAATCTTTAAAAAATTCACCATTATGTAGGCCTTGTAAAATGAATCTTTAAAAAATCCACGCCTTATGTAGGCCTTGAAAAAGTAATCTTTAAAAAATCCACGCTTGATATAGGCCTTGAAAAAGTAATCTTTAAAAAATCCACGCCTGATATAGGCCTTGAAAAAGTAATCTTTAAAAAATCCACGCCTGATATAGGCTTTGAAAAAGTAATCTTTAAAAAATCCACGCCTGATATAGGCTTTGAAAAAGTAATCTTTAAAAAATCCACGCCTGATATACCCCTTGAAAAAGTAATCTTTAAAAAATCCACGCTTGATATAGGCCTTGAAAAAGTAATCTTTAAAAAATCCACGCTTGATATAGGCCTTGAAAAAGTAATCTTTAAAAAATCCACGCCTTATATCGGCCTTGAAAAAGTAATCTTTAAAAAATCCACGCTTGATATAGGCCTTGAAAAAGTAATCTTTAAAAAATCCACGCCTGATATAGGCCTTGAAACAGTAATCTTTAAAAAATCCACGCCTGATATAGGCCTTGAAAATGAATTTTTTAAAAAATCCACGCCTTATATTAGCCTTGAAAAAGTAATCCTGAAAAATTCACGCCTTATATAGGCCTAGAAAAAGTAATCCTGAAAAATTCACGCCTTATACAGGCCTAGAAAAAGTAATCTTTAAAAAATCCACGCCTTATATAGGCCTAGAAAAAATAATCTATAAAAAATCCACGCCTTATATAGGCCTAGAAACAGTAATCTTTAAAAAATCCACGCCTTATATATCCCTTTTGATGTATCTCTATACTAAAAAAAATCACGACTTGTTTTGGTCCCATAAAAATATTCTTTAAAAAATCCACGCCTTCTGATAGCCATTGACAAAAATATCCTTTAAAAAATCCAAGCCTTCAGATAGTCGTGGAAAAAATCCACGCATTCTCATATTTTTTATAAAAATCTAGTTTCAAAATACCGTTCTGTTTCTGACATTAGAGTGTGTTACATCTATCATAGCCACTGCTTTCACAAACACGACGGCGTTTGAATGTGTTATCATCGCCTTCATACCCAAATTGTTGGGGCATAGACATTATCTTTTGATTTGGGGAGCAGAATTGATTTGTGTTGAAGAAAAATGAAAAGTAAATAGACGGTGATATCGGCATCTTTTAAGTCCATTGGCAATTGAATTTTCGAATAGGTAGTGAGATATGTTTTAATTGTTAACAACATATAAACAAAAACAACAACAAAAAAATGATAAGAGTACGACGTCGTTTTGCCATTATGCTATGTGGCATATCGGTGGCAATTTTTTTGACCGTATACTTTATGATTAATTATGCGGCTCCACAGGAGGACAAAAAGCCTAACTTTATGGCTTTGGAAGCCCAACAACATGAATACAATAAGCAGGTATTGCAAAAACCTGACATGGGCCTTGTATATGGTCCGAAAAATAAAGATGCCGGTCACAGTGATGATGGCAGGCCGAGATATGCAGAAAATACCATAAACAAATTAAATGAAAATGGTGGGGTGAAAAATTCGAAAGCGATGAAAAAGGAATTGGATGATGGCCTCATTCAGGATGGAAAAAATGACGAGGAAAATATGATAGCCAGAGATGAGACATGTGAATTTGATCCCCAGCAAGTTCCACAACCTGATATACAAATGTTGGATATGTATGGTAAAATGTCATTTGAGGACATAGATGGTGGAGTTTGGAAACAGGGATGGAATATTAAATATGATCCCATGCAATATAATGATCATCATAAGTTGAAGGTGTTTGTAGTGCCACATTCACACAATGATCCAGGGTGGATTAAGACATTTGATGATTACTATGATCATGAAACGAAACACATACTCTCGAATGCTCTGCGCCATCTGCGTGAGAATCCCGATATGAAATTTATATGGGCTGAGATATCGTATTTTTCAAAATTCTATGAGGATTTAGGCGAAAAAAATAAATTAGAAGTTAAAAAGTGGGTTTCAATATTTAGATCTTTGAATTTTTTACTAAATCATTAAAATATTCTTTTTTCAGATTGGTCCAAAATGGTCAATTGGAATTTGTTTCCGGTGGCTGGGTTATGCCTGACGAGGCCAATTCTCATTGGCATAATATGTTGTTGCAATTGACAGAGGGCCAACATTGGCTTAAGAAATATCTGAATGTCACGCCCATATCATCATGGGCTATTGACCCGTTTGGCCACAGTCCTTCAATGCCGTATATTTTGAAAAAGTCAGGATTTGAAAATGCTTTGATACAACGCACCCATTATTCGGTTAAAAAGGAGTTGGCTTTGAAACGTAATTTGGAATTCTATTGGCGGCAATTGTGGGGTAAGTAAATGTAAATTTTTTACCCTCTAAAATGAGGAACCCAAAGAAAAAAAATAGAGTTTTTTATTTTCTTCGATATCGAAATCCAATATCAAGTTTTATGGGTTGAAAATGAGGTTAGGATCTTCAAATTACCAAAATTAAGATGGGAATGGGGTCTATTTTTTTTCTTAGAATCCGTAGTGCCAAATTATACTACTTCTTACGTTGAACTTAAAAAAAATAATAATTTAAATCAGTTGTTAACGGATCATTTGATTTTTTTACAACGTATAGTCCTATGGGTCCAGTTTGTCTTGGAAAAATCTATATTTCCTGAGATATGGTTTTTTATTAATAATAAAATTTTTGTTCTTATTTAGATGACTCGGGAGAAACTGAACTTTTCACCCATATGATGCCATTCTATTCATATGACATACCCCACTCATGTGGACCGGATCCCAAGATTTGCTGTCAATTCGATTTTAAGCGAGTGCCCGGTTTTGGCCTAAGCTGTCCATGGCGGGTGCCACCAAAGACTATTGGAGATCATAATGTGGCAGAAAGGTAAATTAATCGTACATTTTAATATTAAATTATTTCCAATAATAAAATCTACTTACAGAGCCGAACTACTTGTGGATCAATGGAAAAAGAAAGCCGAACTATATCGCACCAATGTGTTACTCTTCCCATTGGGTGATGATTTCCGTTATAGTCAAAGTACTGAATGGGAAGTTCAGCGTATGAATTATGAAAATCTCTTTACCCACATTAATTCGGAGCGGAAATATTTCGTTGAGGCTAAATTTGGAACATTGCAAGAATATTTTGATGCGGTGCATGAAGAGCAAAGGCAGAAGCAAAGAAGTTTTCCAACACTTAGTGGTGATTTCTTTACCTATGCTGATCGTTCAGATAATTATTGGAGTGGTTACTTTACTTCACGTCCATATCATAAACGTATGGATAGAGTTTTGACTCATTACATACGAAGTGCAGAAATGCTTAGTTCATGGAATAAATGGGATGATGGTGTAAAATTTGATGAAATGTTACAGGATGCTAGAAGGCAATTATCGCTTTTTCAACATCATGATGGTATTACGGGTACCGCAAAAACGCATGTTGTTGAAGACTATGCCCAGCGTATGTTGAGCGCAGTGAAAAATTGTAAATTTGTAATGCAACAAGCAGTGTATAAACTGCTGACCAAGAAATCGGTAGGAAGATTGAAAGAGTTTTATTTGAAACAAATTATTGTCAAAGTTCCTTTGATTGTTTTAGATTTACAATGCCGATACCAATTTCAATTACTTCCACATGGATGACTCCCGTTGGCCGGGACCCGATGACACCCGTACCACCATAATATTGGGTGAAGAATTGCCACAAAAACATTTAGTATTGCACAATTCATTGCCACAGTGGCGTGAAGAAATTGTTGATTTCCATGTGGCTTCACCATTTGTCAGCGTTGTCGACTCGAATAATAATCCTGTGGAAATACAAATTTCACCAGTTTGGACATGGCATAAAGATACCTTCTCGAACACGATAACACCACAGGCATCTACTACAAAATATCGTTTGATATTTAAGGCTAAAGTTGCGCCACTGGGTCTATCGACATATATTGTAAAGGCTGAAACTCCAGAATCTATAAATAAGAAGTAAGTATAATGAAGAAGGCTTTCAGAATTTTTTTTTTAGGGATGGGTTGGTCATTGAAAAAATCCAAAATCCATGCTTATAACAAAGATGGTCTTTGAAAACATATTCTTTAAAAATCCATAATTGATACTCTGAGGGTCTTTAAAACAATCGATACTTCAAATCCATAGTCCATTTGATAGTCCCTTCAAAATATTCTTTAAACAATCCACCTCCCTTTAAAATATTCTTTAAACAATCCACCTCCCTAAAAAAGATTCTTCAAACAATCCACCTCCCTTCAAAATATTATTTAAACAATCCACCTCCCTGAAAAATATTATTTAAACAATCCACCTCCCTGAAAAATATTCTTTAAACAATCCACCTCCCTGAAAAATATTCTTTAAAAATCCGCGCCTTTTGATAGTCCCTGAAAAATATTTTTTAAAAAATGCACGCCTTTTGATAATCCCTGAAAAATATTCTTTAAAAAATCCACGCCTTTTGATAGTCCCTGAAAAATATTCTTTAAAAAATCCACGCCTTTTGATAGTCCCTGAAAAATATTCTTTAAAAAATACACGCCTTTTGATAATCCCTGAAAAATATTCTTTAAAAAATGCACGCCTTTTGATAATCCCTGAAAAATATTCTTTAAAAAATCCACGCCTTTTGATAGTCCCTGAAAAATATTCTCTTAAAAATCCACGCTTTCAGATAGTCATAGAAAAATGTTCTTTAACAAATCCACGCCTTTTGATAGTCCCTGAAAAATATTCTTTAAAAAATCCACGCCTTTTCATAGTCCCTGAAAAATATTCTCTTAAAAATCCACGCTTTCAGATAGTCATAGAAAAATGTTCTTTAAAAAATCCACGCCTTTTGATAGTCTTTGAAAAATATTGTTTAAAAAGTCCACGTCTTCTGATAGTCCCTGAAAAATCTCCCTTGACAAATCCACGCTTATAAATCTGATTTGTCTTATAAATTATTCTTATAAAACAACCACCTGTAAATAATACTTTTAATTTTTAACTTTTTTTGCAGCTACATAACATTTGCTTCGAATCTCATATTGACGACAAATCCAATTACCACACAATTGGGTGATTATCCAAAAGAAGTGCAGTTTGGTGAACATCGTGAGGTGTCACTGAAAGTGGGCTCCGGCCCCACTGTGGCATTTAGTTCAGACGGAATGATGAAATCAATACAAATAAAAGAATCAGAATCTCATACCCCGGTAAGGGTACAATTCTTTAAATATGGTACAAGAATTAATGGTGATCGTTCGGGTGCATATCTGTTTTTGCCAAATGGTCCAGCTACACCAATTGTCAATAGTCATACCCCAGTAGTTTTAGTGACAAAAGGTCCACTCGAATCAAGTGTTTCAGCGGGCTTGACATTTGGTACCCATCACACAATTCTCCGCGAAGGTGAAGCTCCCGAGATACGTAATAATATTGATATTGTCGGTATGGATGATACAGAAGTGGTAATGCGTTTGCAAACACGTTTACGCAGTGGCGATACCTTCTATACCGATTTAAATGGTTTACAAATAATAAAACGTCAACGATTTACTAAAATCCCCTTGCAAGCTAATTACTATCCCATACCATCGGCTATTTACATAGAAGATGATAGTCTACGTTTGACGGTGGTATCTGCCCAACCTTTGGGTGGTTCATCGCTGGCCCAAGGTGAAGTGGAAATAATGCAAGATCGTCGTTTAACACACGATGATGAACGTGGCGTGGGACAAGGTGTATTGGACAATCGTCCTGTGTTACATATATTCCGTGTTGTTTTGGAACGTATTGAAGGTTGTGAAAAACTTGCCGATAATCATCCTGCTGGTGCATTAACTCTGACCGCCTATCGTAATTCGAAGTCGCTATTAAATCCATTTGATAAATTTATTTTTGCTGAAAATGATTGGCTAGGTGTTTTGCCAGAATTTGGTAGCAGTCATTCGGCTTTGGGTGATGATATGGAAATTGTTGTAATGCGAAATTTAAATCCTACAAATTCGGTACCGGCTGTTGCTCGAGATCGTAAACCGCGTACCACGCTGAATACTGGCATTGTTTTGCATCGTACCAGTTTGATGCAGTGTTCCGGATTGGAAAGCAAAAATGATGGAGAGGTAAGTGGGAAGTTTTTTTATGTTCTGTTTTCGTTTTCTTCAATTGATATTTAAAAAAATCTAAATTCTTCGCGTAGTTTAATACCTATAAATAATAGAGATTCCTTGTTATCTTTTCAATATTCCAGTTAAATTTACATCATGCTCTACAAATGGCCAATGTATCATCGGTGTACAAAACCACATTGACATTCCTTAAACGTTTGTCGTCGCATCAATACGATGAGGAATTATCTTTGTGCCCCATGGACACAATGGCATTTATATTACAAAGACCCAGTTGATTTGACGACCACCATCCACAATAGGCAGTTCGCCTAGGAGAGAAGAGGATATTATAGCACTAACTTTAAATTAATTTATTTCTTTCTTCTCCTTCTTTAGTTCAAAATCCAGACCAAAAGAATATTTACACACTGCTTTTAGAATTTCATGGAAATTTAATTTTTTTCTTTTTTAGTTTTTAATTATTTTTTTATTATTATATCTTGGATATATGGACTGATGACAACACAGGTTAATACCAGTTTTATTTTTATTACTTTTAAATTTGATTATCAAATTTTGAAAGGTTTTGAATAACACATTTTGTTTTATGATATTGAAAAGGTTGTAAAATATTTTTTTAATGCTTTTAAATGAAAAAACGAATTATCTTCCATAGAATCTCAATTTAAACTTTATTTAATATTAAATTTTCAATTTCAATTCAGATATTATTTTACAAATCCAGTTATAAATATATATACAATTAAATGAATCTCAATTTCACCTCTCATAAATTAATAACCTTAATCTCTTCATAATCATTAGTTTTTCTTTTTCAAATTCCACTTCTAGGAATTTTTGGTCAGAACAGGCTATAGTTACTTAGAGTAAAAATCTAAAACAAAAAGTAAAATCTAAACCAATTCCCCCCTCTAACTGTCTTTAGGACTTAGGAATTGTAAATTGCATTAATGACAAAAACTGTCTGTGTATCCAAAATATCTCTGATATAGATGTGTGTCTTAAAAAATCATGTCGTTTTTTTCACGTTTCGTAAAATGTTCTGATATTTTTTTTAAATACACATTTTTTGTAAGATGACAATTATTAAATATAAAACTACTCAAAATAATACTTGAAATTTTCAACAAAGATATATAGAATTTTAAAATGAAAACTGAATGTTTAAAAAGTGGTTACAATAATAATAAACATTTAAAATATAGAGTTCTTAAATAAAATAAAATAGTTATAGTTAATAGTGTGTATTATATATATTTGACAAAGAATATTTATTTAAAAGCAAATAATTTTAATAATTTTTCCTATATTACGTTTTTATTTTTTTAATGTAGAATCTCACAATGACATGATCTAATTTAAGAATCCCAACAATAATATTAATTAAAAATATATAATGTTAGTTTTGTGACTGGATTATGCACCATAACCGACCTGTACGTGAAATAAAAAAAAATTGTACAAAAACTTATTTATTAATAAAAACACATAGTTATATATTAACTATTTGGATCTTATACATTCTACAAGATTTTATAAAGAATAGGACCATCCAACATGGCGTGGATTTTTGAAAGAATATATTTAAAAAGGACCAACACAAGGCGTGAAGTTTTTCAAGGTCTATAGAAGACGAGGATTTTTATACCCTTCACTACACTGTGATACAGGGTATTATGTCTTTGTGCATATGTTTGTAACAGGCAAAAGAAAATGAGATAGACACATGGTTCCTTTTGAGAATATGCATAGAATCACTTTCTAAGTTGATTTATGCATGTCCGTCCGTCCGTCCGTCCGTCTGTCTGTCCATGTTAAATTGTAAACAAAGTATAGGTCGCAATTATGATCCGAATTGGATGAAATTTGGCATATGTGACTTATTTGGCCCAAGGACGAATCCTATTGAAATTGGGAAAAATTTAGATATAGCCCCCGTATATAGTTTTATCCGATTTAAAATAAATGGTGCACCAAATTCCCTATATATATCTTTTGATTTGCTTGAAATTTGACACAGAATTCTGAATTAGGTCTACAATGATGTGTGTTAAGTTTCCTGAAAATCGGTTCAGATTTAGATATAGCTCCCATATATATTTCGTCTGATTTAATGTAAATGGTGCTCCAAAGTCCCTATATATCTTTCGATTCACACGAAAATTGGCACATTGCACTGAATTGAGTCTAGAATGATGTGTACACAGATTTGTGAAAATAGGTTCAGATTTAGATATAGCTTCCATATATATTTTCGTCCGATTTAAAGTAAATGGTGCATCAAAGTACCTATATATCTTTCGATTTGCACGAAATTTAGCATACCGCACTAAATTAAGTATAGAGTGGTGTGTGTTAAGTTTCGTGAAATCGGTTCCGATTTAGATATAGATCCCATACATATTTCCGTTCGATTTTAGTTAAGAAGTGCACCATAGTCCTTATATACCTTTCGATTTGCACGAAATTTGGCACAGCGCAATGAATTAGGTCTAGAGTGATGTGTGTTAAATTTTGTGAAAATCGGTTCAGATTTTGATATAGCTCCCGTATATAGTTTCGTCCGATTTTAGGTAAATGGTGCACCAAAGTCCCTATATATCTTTCGATTTGCACGAAATTTTGCATGGGGTACTGAATTAAGTCTAGAAAGATATATGTTAAATTTTGTGAAAATCGGTTCAGATTTTGATGTAGCTCCTGCATATATTTTCGTCCGATTTTAGGTAAATAGTGCACCAAAGTCCCTATATATCCTTCGATTTACACGAAATTTGGCGCAGCGTAATGAATTGGGTCTAGAATGATGTGTGTTAAGTTTCCCGAAAATCGGTTCAGATTTTGATATAGCTCCCGTATATATTTTCGTCAGATTTTAGGTAAATAGTGCACCAAAGTCCACATATATCTTTCGATTTGCCCGAAATTTGGCATAGCGTACTGAATAAAGTCTAGAATGATGTATGTTAAGTTTTGTGAAAATCGGTTCAGATATAGCTCCCATATATATTTTTGTCTGATTTAATGTAAATGGTGTATCAAAGTCCCTAAAGTTTGGAAAGTTTTGTTGAAATGGGTTCAAATTTGCATAGAGCTACTATATATATTTTCTCCCGATTTTAAGTACAAAATGCACAAAGATCTCAAGATGTGACAGATATGCACAAAACATACTGAAATTAGAATAACTTAACTGTAACAAGTTTCGATGAAATCGGTTTAGATTTCGATATAGCTTTAGTATATATTTTCGTCGGATTTTAAGTAAATGGTGCAGCAAACTCCTCATGTTTTTCAGATATTTATCCAAATAGGGTGTCCGATTGATATTTGCTTAAAATTGATTTACATAATTTTGTCCCATTGTAAGAAGCAACTCTATATCTGACCAAATGAAAAATGTAGTATAGGTTGCAGAATGACATGTTTATGGATCCAATTTCATTTTACTGGTCCTTCAAAAATTCAACGTCTCTTAGGATTCATCTGTTGAATACATCCAAAGTGGTGAAGGGTATCATATAGTCGGTAACCGTCCGACTTTACTACTTTCCTTACTGGTTTAAACATTAATTTTTCAGCTCGCCTAAGGTTGTTCAGTGTACGCATGCGTAATTTTTGAAATTAATATTACTTATACGCATATTAAAAAAGTACCTTCGTTCCTCGCATAAAGCTTCGTCATATTTTCAATATTTACAACAACAAAAAATAAAGCTAAAAAATAAGTTTCTCTTTACCATTCATTTCATTTCTTTCTCTTTCAAAGAGAATTTCAATAAAAGCTTTTATTTGCATATGGAACTCGTTTATTTCCCTGAGATTAACATAGAGAACAATGAAAACAAAAAAAACTTGCAAAAATGAATGAGCGAGCTTCCTTTAGCTTTTTCGCAAAACTAAATCTGTGTTACTGTGACAATTGGATACTTGGATATATTGTTGAGAGTTCCTCTTCATAGTAAGCTCATGGTATTATCCGGAAAAATCATTGTCAAGCCATTACTCGTTGTAATCAAGACATTCAATCGCAATCAAAAAAATAAATCATTTAAATAAAAAAAAAAAATTCTAAAACAACGGAAACATACTCCCATACATACTGTCGTGCATAAATCATTTATTTTCACACAAAAATCATCATCATTTTGTCAATCAATGAATGGTTCGATTGTGTTAGTTCGGTTTTTTAAATCTAACTACAAAATTTAACACATAATAACAATAAAAAAACCATCCCTCAAGTCAAAACAGTGAATCATTTTAACAGAAGCAAAAAAAAAAAAAAAATATTCAAATATTAATAAAGAAAAAATATTGAAACAAAAAAACTCATCTCATCTCTGTGTGTGTTGTTGGCCTGATGTTGCTTGAATGGTATTCTCAACTGCATGAAGTGTTAAAAAATTTATGTGTGTGCCGGTGTGTGTGTGTGAATGAATTTTTGTTTGTCTATTTCATGTCATTGATTGTTTGTTGTTAATTTTTTCTCCTACATTTCATACCATTTGACATGTGAAAAAGAGGAAGAAATTATGCCACCATAAAATGCATTATGTTATAACAATTTTGGTTGTAAATGTTTGAAATATTTATTTGGAACAAAATGTTATAAAAAAGTCATTGAATTTTCTTCCAGATAAAATATGGCAAATAAAAAAACATATTTATTTGTACTTTTCAAGATTATTTAATATTTGAGATTAATATCTTGTGTTTCCCCATACAAATAGTATTGCCTCTTTGCGATTTGTAATATGAAACCCTATTTAGATAAATGTGAAAATTGGTCGGAATGGATATTTTGTCAGGATATTATAGCTTTGTGCAGTCCCAAAAGTTTGTAACGCGGCGAAATATTTAAGTATACCGATCGTCATATCTCGACTAGCTGAGTCGATCTAGACATGTGTGTCCGTCCGTCCATTATAATTTGTAAACACGATACAGGCCACAGTTATGGACCAATCTTCACGAAATTTTGCATGTAGAATGGGTTCTGGCCAATGAACCAATCATCACGAAATTGCATGTAGAATGGGTTCTGGCCAATGAAGACCCCTATTGTTTTTGGAAAAGATCGGTTAATATTTAGGGGATGAAATGGACCAAAAACTTTATTTTTGTCTGATTTCTGGTTGCTCCAGTGGCCGCAAATATGGCCCAAACACCGCGAATTTTTGCATGGAGAAGGGGATCTAGCCAAAGAATAAGCATGCCTGTTTTGATAAAGATCGGTCAATATTTAGCGGGTCAAATGGACCCGGACTTTTGTGTGAA